CCCTGATGGCTCTGGGCGCTGACTCTCACCAGTGGCTATGGATGAAGTCACAGGGAAAGTCTATTTTAATTGTCCCATTGCAACAGTGCTTGTCAAAACTAGTTCTGATTAATCTCCTTTGTCATTGTGTCCTTTGCCATTCCCTATCACTCCTCCCTGAGAGAGACTTCACCCTGATTCATAAGGGAAAGGGGATGGCGTATTCTCTTAGCTACTTCCTGCTGAAAAGGGACGCTGTAGGTTTCAGGATGAAGATCTTCTCTCACTACTCTAAATGGCTCCTTTGGCGATAGGAAACATGTAGACTATTGTGGAGATTGATTTTGGAATTTAGATGCACTTATGTAATTTTTAAAAAATTTACGTTTTTTTAAAGTGTGATTTTAACAAAAGTTTACAGAGAAGTTGGATTTTCATTCATTCATTGTTGCATTTTCTCCTATTCCCCTTCTCCAGTTCACTTTGTTTTTTTAATATTCATTATTGCATAATTTCCTCCTTTCCCCTTCTTTATCCCTACAAATTTGTTATTTTAAAATTTTTATTTGAGTGAAAGTTTACAAAGTAAATTGGTTTTCATTTATACTTATTTTGTTTCAAAACTTTTGATTGTACCCACAGTATAACTGAACTTTTCTCCCTCTTCCTGTGCTTCTCATTTCCATTAGCTCTTCTGTCTACCCCTTCCTGCTTCTGGCTTTTATCCTTAGGCATGTGCTTCCCGTGATTGGTTATTGCAGCTTCTCATTGCTGTGGGGGTGGAACAGACTCACACCTGACCCTCGAGCGGGTTTCTAGAGGCTGTAAATCACTCGGGGAGGACACGGCCCCTCTTCGTAAGTTAGAGCAGCTGGTGAATTTGAATTGCCCGCCTTTGGGTTGACAGGGCAGCTTCTTACCCCCTAGACCACTGGAGCTTGATTTTTATAGAAGTAAACTTGTTTTCAGTAAGATCTACTTTCCAAGAGACTCCAGTCTTGGAATGAACATGGCAGGCAGTCCTCAGAGGGTTTGTGATAAGTAGTTAAGTGGACCTGTGGCTTGTGGGCAGGCCCTATTTGCATTTTCTCTTTTCATCTCTCTCCAGGAACTAAGTGTTGAGTGTGGTCTGAACAACAGGATCCGGGTCATAGGGCAGATTTGTGAAGTAGCAAAAACAAAGAAATTTGAGGAGGTAGGTTTGCCTGTACTTGTGCTGTTTGAAAGCCCGTTTGTTCTTTTTGTGTGCGTTGTACAGAGCTCACTTTGCCAGTGGGCTGATTGGCACTCTTTTGGGGAAATGAGGCCTTTCAGTTGTGACATTGGTGGGTTGGGTGCTGCTGTGATGTTGGAAGCTATGCCACTGATATTTCAGACATCAGCAGAGTCATCCATGTGGACAGGTTTCATTGGAGGGAAGCTGGCCTGGCTATCCACTTCTGAAGTAATGACGAGTTAAGCAGCTTGAATTCCCGGTGGAATGTTGTCTGATACAGTGCCAGAAGACTGCAGGCACTCAGCGTGTGGCTGGGGAAAAGTTGCCTTCTCCACGTGGCGTCTGTCTTAGTGAAGCGAATGGAGTAAAGTTTTCGGGTGGTGAAGACCTTCCTGTGAGGATTTGGGGAGGCTCAGAGCGAGGAGAAATAGTTACGGACTTCCATGACACAGTGACTGCAACAGTGGGATTAAGCAAGACGGAGGTGTGAGGAGGCTCAGGACTGGGCAGCAATCTGAGTTGGAGACCACACAGCGGCAACTAATGACAAGAAGCCTTCGCCTCACTGAAGGACAAGCTTCTAAAAGGGCCTTGAGCCCTGGCTGTTGCTGGTAGGGGTGGAGAGCGGATCTCAGAAAGTAGTTCTGCAGCGGCTTACAGAGATGTGTGGCTTACCTGTCAGGAAGAGGACGTATCAGAATGGAGCACAGTCAGAGAGCAAGTCGGGGTACCTCTTTTACCGCCTTTTTGGAAGCAGTTACTGCTTGGTGCTCTTGCACCTCACAGACGTCGTCATATTTAGTCAGCGCAGGTATCCTCCAGCTCTCCCTACCTGGGCAGCCTGTGGTGTGCAGCCTGCTGTTGGTGATGCCTTGCAGGAAGTTGCCTGTATAGGTACAGGAGGGGGACTGTGACCCAGCTCGCGTCCTGCCCTGTGCCCCTGTCCTGGTGGACAGCAGCCAGGTCTCTGAGGCCCTGTGTGTTTGTGTCTGTGGGAGACACCTGACCCGGGCCGTGGAGGGACTAGTTCTGAGGCAGGGATGCCGTGGCTGTGCCATGACCTGTGCTGACTGTGTCCTCTTGCCCGTCCCCTCTGCAGTATGCTGTGGAAGCGCTCTGGAATGCCGTTGCAGACCTGCTGCAGCCTGATCGCCCGCCGGAGGCCCGCCATGCAGTACTGGCCCTGCTGAAGGCCATCGTGCAGGGCCAGGTATGAGTTGGGTGCTGAACTTGAGAACAGTTGCCCATTGACTAGTCCTTGGCTGCACTGCATGTGGGGCCCTGGGTGAGGGCTGAGTGGTAACGGGCTCGGGTGAGGGACAGAGCAGAGGGATTGTGGGGTGAGGCCTAGGAGTGTGGCCCAGGAGATACGGGCTCAGCTAAGGAATTGGGCTGGTGGTTATGTGGGGCTGGGCGGTGCGGTGGGGCTGGTGGTCATGTGGGGCTGTGTTGAGGGCTAGAGCCGAAGGCTAAGGTGTGTTGTAGGTCTGTATGGATGTTTTCCACCTGATGTCCAGTGTGGTGCGCCCCTGACTCAGCCCCTCTTGTCCTTCCTCAACTCCTAGTTAGGTTCCTGTATTGGAACCTTGACACTCATGGCACTCCTTGAACTTGTCAGCAACTTGGACAGCCAGGCTATGTGGTCCTAGCTAGCTGGGCTCTAGTGCCCTAAGGTTTTGTCCCCAGGGGGATCGCCTTGGTGTGCTGCGTGCCCTGTTCTTCAAAGTCATCAAGGATTACCCCTCCAAGGAAGACCTGCACGAGAGGCTGGAAGTGTTCAAAGCTCTCACCGACAACGGGAGACACATAACCTACTTGGAAGAAGAGCTAGGTGGGTGCCTTGGTGCCTGTGAGTTTCCTTAGCCTTGGTGATCACATTTAATCTGGTATGCTGGCTGTCTTCTGAGGGGGACACTGTACTGCACAGTGACCCTCGGACTCTGATCGTCAGCTCCCCAGAGCAGGCCTAGACCAGAATGGAATTCCTCAGAGACTTACTAAAAGACAAATGTGAGCCTCGCTCTGGGCTCTCAGTTTTAGTTCTGTAGGGCTGCTGTAACAGAGATGCCACAAAAGGGTGGTTTAACAAACAGAAGTTAATCCTCTCCCTGTTTAGGAGGTTAGAAGTCCAAATTCAGGGTGTTCGCTCTATGGAACGTCTTTTCTCTGGTGTTCCTGGAAGGGGGACCCTTATTTCCTTCAGCATCTCAAAGTCCAGCGCTCCTTGCAGATCTGAATCCTGGTCTTGTCCAGTGTCGAGGGCAGGGACTCAGGACCAGAGGACACACTCCACTCCTGGCAGTTCTTTCTGTGGGTCTTCTCTCGCTGTTCACTTTCCTCCATCTTAACTCTCATGAGATAAAAGGTGTTAGAAGTCACACCCTAAGGAAACTCCACTGACATCAGATCTGGGCTAGTATTAGGGGCAGTGTCACATCCCACCTTTAATCCTTTTACTACTGCTTGACTGATCAGATCATGGGAGAGTATTGCATAACTCCTACATTATATCATTAATATATGTGTCTAGGAGAACACAGTTCAATCCATGATACCTTCAGACTCAGGATCCTGGGGAAAGCAGCTAATGTGTGTGTTCTAAGTGTGAGGAGGTGTGACTGAGGGTCACAGTCTAAGAGGGCACTGCCCATCCTGAAGGCCTGCCCAGAGGACCCTTGGCTGTGTGTTCTCACCCTCCTTGCCCTGTGCGCCTCACCCCTGCTTAGCTCTCTGTATAGTGGTTCTCAGCTCTGAGATTTCTGACTGCATGGGGAAAGAGGAGGAGTGGGGGTGGGGGCAGAAGTAGTCAGAAGTAGAGAGCTCTGCTGCTCTGTCCCCAGACATGGCCCCCATCTTGGGCTTGGTCCACCTCCAGGCAGGTGCACCGGCCTCTCGGGTGTCCTGCAGAGGTGGAGTGGCTGGAGGCCAGGTGCTCACTTCTGCTCTTCCTGGAGGCAGGAGCTGGCCTGCGGGACACATGTCCCTTGACTGCCACATCCCCTTACTCTGGGGGCCAGGGCTCCATTGTAACTCGTAGCCACTGTTGTCCCAGCTCAAGGTCCCCTCTATGTGGCCCCTGGCCCAGCTCCCTGGGGCTCCAGCAGGTGGTCTGCCTGTCATTGTGAAGTGCTTCATGCACAGGCCTCCCATGGCAGGGCTGGAGGCGTGGAAGTGGGGATCGTGGGCTGTGCTGACCATACCCCTTCTCCACAGCTGACTTCGTCCTGCAGTGGATGAACATTGGCCTGTCCTCGGAGTTCTTGCTCGTCCTTGTGAACCTTGTCAAGTTCAACAGCTGTTACCTTGATGAATACATCGCGTCCATGGTTCAGTAAGACAGACTCAGGGTTGTGACTCCAGGGCAGTCAGCATAGGTCTCGGGTTCCTCTCTGCAGGAGAATGGAGGTGACATCTCCATCAGAGGTGGACAGGTTGGAGTTAGAGACACCCACTGCTGAAGAGCAGATAGGGTGGTACCGCCCCACAGGGATCCAAGCCTGCAAATCTTTTACAGGAGCCAGCCGCCACATCCTTCTCCTGCAGAGCAGCTGGTGGATTTAAACCTCCAGCCTTTGAGCCAGCACTCAAGCACTTTATCCACTAGGTCATCAAGGGCTTGTCAGGAAAAATAGTTTCATTTTTCTTCCTCAGAGAGGCTGGGGGTTTGCAGTGAATCACATGGGAAGAGATTGCCCATCTTTCTCCTGTGAAGCAGCTGGGGGATTTAAACAGCATACCTTTGTGTTTTTCAGCACGATTCCTTACTGCTAAGCCACCTGACTCCCAGAGCTCCTGGGAGACCCCTGTAGAACAAGTAGAACTTCCCTCCAGGGTTTCCAGACTTTGCTTTATTAACAGACTCCTCCTTCTACCTCTGACCACCTGGTGGGACTTGAACTGCCAGCGTTTTGTTCATCATCTGCAAATACAGACTTCATTCACTTGATGCCTGGTGGATTCTTTTTCTTTTTAATCCCCAGAAAAAAACGGAGCCACTGTCACTGAGTGGCCCCTTCCATTTGGTTTCTAGGCCGTACAACTTTGTAGGAGGAAACTGTCCATTTTTATCCTGTGAAGGGCCTGGTGGATTCAAACCACTAATCTTTTGGTTATTGGCCCAACACATAACATTGTACCACTGAATTTCTTCTTTTTACCAGCACTTAGGATATTATGTATGTTTTTGTTGCTGCCATTAATTTCACGCTGTGAGATCTGTAAAGGTTAGACTCTGCCTGGCTCGTGCTGATGACGAGTTAGAAGGTCCAGGCAGATTCTTGGTCATGTTGTCTGCGCTCACCTCCTCCTCTCCCCGCAGGATGATCTGTCTGCTGTGCATCCAGACTGTGTCCTCTGTTGACATCGAGGTCAGTAACTTCTCTCCGGGAGGGCGTGTTATGGGGAGGTCGTGAACAGTGGCTCCACGGTCCCTTCCTGTTCGGCCATACACTGGCATGTGAGCTAGGTGAAGTGGACTGGTCCCCCTCAACCTCAGGAGTGCAGTGGGGGTGATCGCCATAGGGATACATGAATTCAGGAGGCAGCAGCATTTAGGGGTCTCTACAGCCAGCTGGCCAACTGACTGGAAAAGATCGATATTTGTTCCCATTCCAAAGAAAGGTGACCTAACGGAGTGCAGAAATTATCGAACAATATCATTAATATCACATGCAAGCAAGATTCTGCTGAAAATTAACCAAAAATATTTGGAATAATATGTCAGCAGAGAACTGCCAGATGTGCAGGCTGGATTTAGAAGAGATCGTGATACTAGGGATATTATAGCCAATGTTAGATGGATCTTGGCAGAAAGCAAAGAATACCAGAAGAATGTCTATCTGTGCTTCATTGACTATGCAAAGGCTTTTGACTGTATGGATCACAACAAGCTGTGGCTGACTCTGAGAAGAATGGAGATCCCAGAACATTTGATTGTGCTAATATAAAACCTATACTTGGACCAAGAAGCAGTCGTCAGAACAAAGCAAGGAGACACTACATGGTTCAAAATCAAGAAGGGGATCCATCAGGGATGTATTCTGTCTCCATACCTTTTCAATCTGTATGCAGAACAGATCATCCGAGACCCTGGGCTATACGAGGAGGAATGTGGCATCAGGATTGGTGGAAGAGTCATCAACAACCTGTGTTATGCTGATGACACAACCCTGCTTGCTGAAACTGAGGAGGACATGAATCGCTTGCTGCAGAAGGTCAAGGACTGCAGCCTCCTATATGAATTAAAGCTCAACATCAGAAAAACAAAAATTCTCACCACCGGACCAATTGGCAGCATCAGTATGGATGGTGAAGAGAGATAGTTGACAGTTTTCGTTTACTTGGCTCCACAGTCAACACTCTTGGTAACAGCAGCCAGGAAATCAAGAGACGAATTGCATTGGGAAAAGTCAGCTGTGAGGGATCTCTCCAGCGTACTGAAGAGCAATGCCATCAGGCTGGAGACTAAGGTGCACCTGATCCAGGCTATAGTCTTCGCAATTGCGTTTTATGCTTCAGAGAGTTGGACAGTGACTAGGGATGCTAGAAGGAGAATTGATGCCTTTGAGTTGTGGTGCTGGAGAAGAGTACTGAATATACCATGGTCTGCTAGGAGAACAAACAGTTTTGCCCTGGAGAGGGTGAAGCCAGAATGTTCCTTGGAATCAAAGATTCTGAAACTTCGTCTGACATACTTTGGGCATGTTGCAAGGAGGACTGGTCCTTGGAGAGGGACATCATGTTTGGCAGAGTGGAGGGGCGGTGAAGGAGAGGAAGACCTTTGATGAGATGGATCGATTCTGTGACTTGGATGGTGGGAATGAGTGCTGTTGAGATGGCTAGGTTGGCACAGGATAGAATAGCGTTTAGAGCTCTTCTACATAGGGTCGCAGTGAGTCACAAGCAACTCGATGGCACATAACAACAACAACAACAACAGTTCTTAGATGAGGATGTGATACTGTCTCACATACTTTGGGCACATTGACAGGAATTGCCAGTCCTAAAAAAAGGTAGCATGCTGGGAAGGGTCAGAGGAAGACCTTCAGCAAGATGGAGTGACACAGTGGGTTCAAGCACATCTGAGGTCTTGAGAATGATGCAAGATACGGCATGATTCAGAAGGATGTTGTGAGTCATTGGCTTGACGCCACCTAACAGCAAGTTCTTAAGAGAATCCCGGGGAGTGAAGTAGTTGAGATCACCTGCTAATCTCAAGTTCAGTGGTTAGAATTGGCTGGCAGCCCCACAGAAAAAGCATGGCAGTCTGCATCTGTGAAAATGTACAGCTTTGCGGAGAGACGTTATTTACAGCCTTGGGAACTCTCTGGGGGCAGTTCAGGTCTGTCACATGGGATCTCTGTGAGTCTAAATTGCCTCAGTGGTGTTGAGTTTGGCTTTGAAGTTCTTGTTAATAGGAGTGGAAGGATTTGGAAGTAGATATGTGAGATGGTTATGCAGTATGGTGGATGCCATCAAATCGTATAGGCTGTCCTCGGAGGGCCAGACTTGTGCTGGGATATGACGGCCACAATAAAGAACTCACGAACTCACATGCGCAGTTTGCTCTCCCAGTGCTTTTGAAAGTTCTATTTGCTTTGTAGTTTATTAAAAGAGCCCTCGGTGTGGTGTGTCCCACGTCAGAGTTGCTAACTAAAGGTGTGTCCACCAGCAACTCCTTGGCAGGAGGATGGGCTGTCTCCTCACACAGACTCAGCCTCATAGACCCAGCAGGGTGCCTTGAGGAGAATCGACGTGAGAGCAGTGGGTTTGATTTGACTTCAGTTCCAATCTGTTGAGTGTACAGTGGCGCGGTGAAAAGCGTCTGGGATGCTGTGAGAATGCCCGGCGTGTGACCCAGGGGCTGAAGCAGACGTGTGCTGTGGGGAAAATGGCGCCAATAGCCTTGCTCAAAGCAGGGGTGCTGTCGATCTTCCATTTAAAGAGAAAGCAGTTCCTACAAAGTGTGATAAAAGTCAAGCTCAGTAAAGCGAGGTACACCAGTATGTGTTAAACCCCAATTAAAACAATGACCTGCCAAGTGCTTTGTTCGCTTTTTACCAAAAAACCACAAAAAGGTTCTGCTGCTGCCAAGTCCTTTCTGACTCAGTGACTCTCCGTGGGGTTAGTGAGGCTGCACATCTTTTGGGGAGGAGACGGCCTGTCTTTCCCTTGGAGCAGCTAATGAGTTTATATCACTGACCCAGCAAATTATGAGCTTTGCCTTTTTGCTATAATTGGAAAAAAACCCCAAAGCTCGTTGATATAGTATTCACCAGCCACCATCCTGGTGTGTAGTTTCCCCACCAGCTGCTCCCCCTTGGGGTTCCCAGGGCTGTGGGGCCAGGGCAGGTGTGGGCTGCAGGACAGAGTCTGGGGGATCAGGGATGCATGTGGGCAGCGTGTCCACCTGCTGTCCCCTCAGGTGTCCTTGCAGGTGCTGGATGCGGTAGTCTGCTACAACTGTCTGCCCGCCGAGAGCCTGCCCCTCTTCATCGTCACGCTGTGCCGGACCATCAACGTCAAGGAGCTCTGTGAGCCCTGCTGGAAGGTGGGTGCTTAGGGGCTCCTGCTGGAGAGTTATTCCCTAGGGACCATCTGTGTGATGTCCAGGATGGCCTGTGGAGGGAAGCAGGTGACACCTGCCCAGGCAGCTGGCATCAGGGGACTTTGCTTTCCTGTATCTGGGGGAGCATGGTAGTTGGGATCTTGGCGAGCAAAGTTCCAGAGGGGCTGGGCGGTTGGGTCTGTTTCTGTGGGCCCTAACGGTGGTATCTTCTGTGTCCCAGCTGATGCGTAATCTCCTTGGGACCCATCTGGGCCACAGTGCCATCTACAACATGTGCCGCATCATGGAGGACAGGTGAGGGGTGGGCTTGTCTCAAAGAGGTGGTCCGTGAGGTGCGTGTATGCAGGCTGGCTTTTCACTGGTGCTGACCAAGGCCCCTGTACTAGAAGGTCTCCCCAAAGCCAGAGTGTGTGTGTCCTGTGCTCGTGCTGCCAGTCTATTGGACCACATTTTCCCCCTCTGTGTCCAGCACCTTCTGCTGTCATCCCTTTTGGAGAGTGGTCAACAGTGGTAGCCAAGTAGCATGTAGGTGTTCTGGTCCCAGGGTCCTAGAGGCTGAAGTTCACATGGTCCATCAGTTCTTGGACTACACTGTTGAATTCTGGGAGCTAGGGTATTTTTGAGAATGTGTGTGTTCACAAGGGATCTTGTGTGGCTTTTTCTTTTGTAACACCTGTGTCTGTTTAGACTGCTACCCTACAGGTTGGTTGTTCGATCCTATCAGCCTCTTCATGGGAGTGAGACTAAGTAGTCTCCTGTGGAGATGCACAGCCTGAGACACGTGTGCTATGAGTTGGACTCGTTGGTGCTGGGTTTGGGTTAGTTTTGCTCGGCTTCCATATAGAAACAATGCTGAATTTATCATATGAATTAGGACGTGCTCTTTGCTTCTCTGTTTTCTGGAGTGGTTTGAGTGAAACAGTTTGGTTGAATTTACTTGTGATTTGAGGTGGATGTTCAGCATTTGCTTGTATTAGCCTCTGACCCAGGCAGTGTCTCCTGAGGCCAAGGCCCTCCTCATCTCTCTCTGGCCATGGCATAGGCCAGGGTCAGATGTTGAATGAAAAAGCACATCAGCTAGATGCTGGTTGCTCTGTGAACCTTCCTCTTCCTGCACAGCCCATGGGTACAGGGGACCATGGGGGCCGCCGGGACCTGGGCCTCTCCTCACACTGCTCATGTACTGTTCTGCCCGACACATTTGCTTTCAGGGCCTACATGGAGGATGTCCCTCTGTTGAGAGGAGCTGTGTTCTTTGTTGGCATGGCGCTCTGGGGGGCCCACCGCCTCTACTCACTCAAGAACTCCCCAACATCTGTGCTGCCATCGTTTTATAAGGTACCGTGGCTTCTGAGGTGTGGTGGTGGGGCTCACTATGGCGCAGGCCACTGGGAAGCCCTGTCCAAGGGGCCAGATTCTTGCTTTTGCACTGCACAAGGTTTTGTACTACTAGGTGTCAGATTCTGGGAGTGTCCTCTCCTTCAGACTAGTGTTAGAATGCTCTGACGCCTGTCTCCTTGGGACGTGGTCTCAACCTCACTGTGGTTGTGCCTCTGTGCTCTCAGGATGTACCCCCAGGACCCAGGCATCTTTCCCATGGTGCCCTGTGAGCCAGGCAATCTCCTCCCTGGGAGAGCTGCTCAGTGGGGGACACAGGTCTTTCTGGACGCAGCTCTCTCTGCTGGGCTCTCACTCCTGGTGTGGGGTGTAGCGCATGGGCTGGTCTTGGCATTGAGGCCAGAACTTTTGTGTTTCCTGATCTGGGGAGCCAGGGTCATATGAGGCTGCGTCAGGCTTTGTGGAGGTAGACCCTGGCTGGGCCAGACACCAAAAACCCACTGCCATCCAGTGGGTTGCGGCTCACAGGGACCCTCCATCTCGTTTCCAAGCCTGTACAGGAGGAGACTGTCTTTCTCCCTCAGCAGCGGCTGGTGGATTCAAGTGGCTGACCTTCGGGTTAGTGCAACCCATAACGTGCTGTGCCACCAGGGCTCCCTGGCTGTGCTGGAGCTCCTCAGTACCTCTGAGTGGGGGCCACGCTAGCCAGAAGGCTTGTGGGTGTGCGGCGGCTGACCCCGTGGGGCCCATGTTTGTGTTCTAGGCCATGACCTGCCCTAACGAGGTGGTGTCCTATGAGATCGTCCTCTCCATCACCCGGCTTATCAAGAAATACAGAAAGGAGCTGCAGGCGGTGACCTGGGACATTCTATTGAGCATTATTGAGCGTCTGCTCCAGCAGCTGCAGGTGGGGCCTAGACCTGTGTGCACAAGCCAGGGAGCGGGCTGGATGGCCGCAGCAGACCTCATTTAAATGTGCAGTGTTCATTTGCATGTGGGTATGGCACCCAGGGCAGATTCACCACATGATTCACCCCACTTCCCCTAAAATGGCAGAGCCTTGAAAGCCCAGAGCTCCGAACTGTCGTGCACGACTTGTTGACAACAGTGGAGGAACTGTGTGACCAGAACGAGTTCCATGGCTCCCAAGAAAGATACTTTGAGCTCATTGAACGATGTGCCAACCAGAGACCGGTGAGACTCTCCTGGGGCTGGGCTTTGGGGTTCATGGGTAGGGAAAGCCCTGTATTGCAGGCCTGGAAAAGTGTACTGGGCATTTGGCATCAGAGGTGCAGCTCTGTGCCATGCTAGGACCAATAAGTCAGGACCAGTAAATCAAATGCAAGGATGGCCCCAGCAGGGGCACACAGCACCAGCACCAGTACGTCTTCTGCACAGGTTGGGTTGGAGGTGGTGGGGCCCTGACTGCAACAGGGACTTGCTGCTTGATGCACATCTGTGCCCTGCAAGCTGGTGGCAGTGCAGCTCTGCCACTGGTTCCTGGTGCTCCTAGTGCTGGCTTTTCCCCTCGGGGACTCGTTTCTCGGCGTCTCTACCTTCAGGCTTCGGTAGTGTGGACTTTTCCACCTCAGGGCCTCCTTTCTCAGGACATCTGCACCCCCACCACAGTGGTGGGGGTTCTGCCACCACAGGAGCTCATTTCTCAGCATCTTTCCCCCGTGTGCTGGTGCTGTGGGCTCTTCAACCTTGGGATTCCTTTGCCTGAACCTTTGCCCCTGAGTGCCAGCAGGCCTTTAGCCAGGAGCGCGTGTTTGCTGCCAGGACTTTGGTGTGGGAATTCTGCCAGTTGTCTCACACAGCCCAGCTTCTGTTGTCCTGTGGGGGCTCCTGGATGGGGCCAAGGCTGCTGCTGTCCCCTGGCTTACCCTATTCCTGAGTCCTGGTATGGGAACCTTCTGGGCAGGTGGAGCAGGTATCACACCAGCTTCTCTTCTCTGGCAGGAGTCCTCCCTCTTGAACCTCATCACCTACAGGGCGCAGTCCATCCACCCGGCCAAGGACGGCTGGATCCACAACCTGCAGCAGCTCATGGAGCGCTTCTTCAGGTAGCCAGCCTGCTTTGAGGCCCCAGAGCCCAGTGCTGACCAGTGGCCTCACTGTCCTCTCCATCTCAGATAGGCCCAGCTCTCTGACAGCAAGGGACTGTTAGTTCCCAGCATGCTGGGATCCTCCAGTGAGACCATGAGAGTGTGCCTTTCCCCTCCACAGCTATCTGGGAGGCCTGGGGAATGGTGATTGTTGGAGGGTACAGGTGGGCAGTGGTACGTGGTCGCCGCCAGTGGTGTGCCCTCCTCCCCAGGAGCGAGTCCCGCAGTGCCGTGCGGATCAAAGTGCTGGATGTCTTGTCCTTCGTGCTGCTCATCAACAGGCAGTTCTACGAGGTGTGTGCCCAGTGCATGCTGAAGGTGACATGTCTCCACGCCTGCCTGGACACACAGCTCACCCCACACCCTCCTGTGCTGCAGGAGGAACTCATCAACTCAGTGGTCATCTCCCAGCTCTCCCACATCCCGGAGGACAAGGATCCGCAGGTCCGCAAGTTGGCCACCCAGTTGCTGGTAGACCTGGCGGAAGGCTGTCACACCCACCACTTCAACAGCCTGCTGGACATCATCGAGAAAGTGAGGGCCACTGGGTGCCTGTGACAGACGCGCGCTGGGTCTGCAGGACAGGCTGGCTGAGCTGTGGCCACCTTGCATGGGTTGAGAGGGCCCATGGTGCCCCTGCTGTGTCCTTCTCTTGGGGTTTCAGGGGGAGTTAACAAGCATGTGGGCTTCCATTCAGCTGTTTTACACAGCTCCCTTTCTGTATCATTAATCACAGCACCCAGGATGCAGCTTTAACTCCCCATGTACTCCCTGAGTCTTGTTTCCATTCATCCTCTGGCTGCCGCTTCCGGCTTCCTGGACTTTATCCTGGGCAGGTGCCCTATTCTGGCCTGTGTGGTCGGTAGTTCTCCACCAGGCAAAGGGTGCCTCACTGGTGTTGCCCTTCCCCTCAGAGCCCCATCTTACTGTTTGGCTGACGCTGAGCGACGGGGAGCCTTGGCTTCTCTGTTCTATGCCTCAGCTGCGCAGTGCACACACATGGTGTTTTGAGAAACAGGAGGATAGGTCACTGGCCATCCTGGTGACGATCTACAGGAGCTGGGGCCTGAGAAAGTGACTTTTCTTCATAGGTGATTGCTCGCTCACTGACCCCACCCCCCGAGCTGGAAGAAAGGGACATACCTGCTTACTCGGCCTCCTTGGAAGACGTGAAGACCGCTGTCCTGGGGCTCCTGGTCATCCTGCAGGTGGGTCTCTGGCTTCCGTCTTCTGGCTGTCCTGCTGCAGCTATTTCCTGGGAGAGTCCAGAGTGTAGTGGCTGTGTGCAAAGGCCCTGACATCCCAGTCACTGGATGACCATGGGCTCTCCCACACGCTGACTTGGACAAGCTCATCACCATGAGAACCAGCACATGTGCTGTGGCCCGGGCTGCTGGAATCAGTCCTCACGTGGGTGTGCCCTGCCCCTCGGTGACCACACGCTCTTTCCCCAGACTAAGCTCTATGCCTTGCCTGCCAGCCACGCTGCACGCGTGTATGAGACCCTCGTCCGCCACCTCCAGCTGCACTACAAGCACTCCTACACCCTGCCCATCGCCAGCAGCATACGGCTCCAGGTAAGGAGGCGCCACTAGCAAGAACTCCCTGGGAGGCTTCCGGCTGGGTGGGTGGCAGGTGGCCTTGCTGGGACAGCAGCGGGATTACCTGTGGCTCCATTGCCTCTGCCGCCCACCTCGCTAGGCCCTCCTGGGAAGGTGGTGGCAGGGCTGGGGGCCACGAGAGGCCCCTCCTGGGCCTGTGCATCCTGCTCTGGAGTGAGACTTCCCTCTACACTCTGTGCAGGCCTTTGACTTCCTGCTGCTGCTCCGAGCTGACTCCCTCCACCGCCTGGGCCTGCCCAACAAGGATGGTGCTGTGCGCTTCAGCCCCTACTGCCTCTGCGACCATGTGTACGTATATGCATGTCCCCGCACGGGGCCAGATGGCCTCGGGGCGGGTGAGGAGTCATGCCCACCATGGGTCAGTGTTTTCTGACTGGTGGTCACGGGAGACCTCCTGTTGGGCAGCGAGGCCGCGTCTTTAGGAGTGGGAGAGATACTGTCCGCTGCCTGGCAGGCAGGTGCTTCAGCCCTTTCGTTTCTCTCCCTGCCCAATAGGGAGCCTGATCGCAGCTCTGACAAGAAGGCCAATGGCCCGCTCTCGCCTCCCACCGGGCCTCCGGGCCCAGTGCCCACAGGTGCCACCATGAGGCTTGGCTACCTGCCCTATTCCTTGCTCTTCCGTGTCCTGTTGCAGTGTCTGAAGCAGGTGAGGTGGCCCGTCTTTGCCCCCCACATCCCCGCCCCCATTAGATTCTACTGAGCAGGGGTGGGTACCGGTCTAGTTCTGACTCTGTGTGGTTCTGCTGCCTTCAGGAGGTCAGCTTGCCTCCATGCCGCTGCCCCTGGCCCCCTGAGCTAGCCTGGAGTACTTACTGTTTGAAGGCAGCAAGCTGGTGTCCTGGCGTATAGCAAAGCTCTTCTGCCTCTGCAAGGTGGTTATGGTACCGAGAACAAGGCGTGTAGGTAGATAAACAGGTTGCATATTGAGCTGCTCTGAGAAGAAGGTGCAGGCAGCTGCAGGGTCCCAAGGTGGCTGGAGTCGTGTGTGAAACCTGGGAAGGTTTCATGAAGACCAGGTATAGTTCTCTGATGAGCATTGTCACAGTCTGAAGGGAAGGGGCAGTCAGGACCACCTGCATGGGAGATTGGTAGGGAGGGTACTGCCATGGGCCCCTTTCCGTAGCCTCGGGATGAACCAAAGAGCTCTGGTGGCGTTGTGATAAGTAGTAGTAGCACTGCCAACCCAAAGGCACGTGGTTCGGATCCACTCGCTGCTCCATGGGAAAAAGATAGTCTCCTCCGTGGTATTTACTGCCTCTGAAAACCTACTGGCGGATCTGCTATGGGTTGGTTCTGAATCGGTGATACACACAATGTGATGGACCAAACACGAAGATGTGGGATATGCAGAAATGGGCTCCAGGAGGAGATGAGCACTGGCACGGAGGACTATGGTACCAGAGCCCTCTGGTTACAACAGGCAGCTGGCTTAGCTTATGGGCACGTTTGGGTGTGTGGGTGTGTGCTGTGCTGTGGCCAGTCTGGTCTGGGCTTCTGAATGACTTTATTTGCTGTTCATTGTGGCTCTTCTGCCCTGTCTTTGTCATGAGAGAAGGCAGCGATTGAATGTCTCAAGTGACCATGTAACAGGAAGGCACAAAGGGGTTGCCTTTCTCTGGTGAGATCTGTGGATGAAGCCAGTGGGCAGGCAGCCCGGCATCATTGATGGATGGGTGGAGGGAGCCAGGAGCTTAGAAACTGCGGGTGGGACGGGTAGCGAGAAGTGATGGTACCTTGCATCACTCTGCTGAGCCTGGAAGTCAGCTGCCCCTCCACCCTCCAGGAGTGAGGGAACTCCTGTGAGCCGGGACTACAGGCACTGCCAGGCTCTGGGGCCAAGAGCAGGACAAGGGTCTGAACAGGACAAAGTGGGGCCTGGACCTCCAGTCCAGCTTCAAACAATCAGATCCCTGGACAGAGACTCTGGCCATCTTTCACCAGTAAGCATCTGCGTTCAGAGCCCCCGCCCACTACTGACCTGAGTTCAGAAGGTCCTGCCCCCAACCTCACACCTAAGAAGCCTGAGTTTGAGCCCCTTCCGGCTCTCTGCAGGAGATGGACTGGAAAGTTCTGAAGCTGGTCCTCAGCAAGCTGCCGGAGTCCCTGCGCTACAAAGTCCTCATCTTCACATCCCCCTGCAGCGTTGACCAGCTGTCCTCTGCGCTCTGCTCCATGGTAGGGTCCTGTTCGTGACCCAGCTCCTTGTGCTGGGTCGGGTCTGGGGTGGGGCTCACCACTCAGTGGCCCCTGGCTGCCTGTCTTGTCTTCTCTAGAGCTGAAACCTTTGTGTGAATTGGCCCTACCTCTGGAGGGAGTAGATATCAAGATACTAGATACTATCCACATGCCTCAGCTCACAGCAGATCATGCAGGTCCCCCAGCTCATGAGATTCCCCCCAGTTCATAGCAGACCATGGGGGACCCCCAACTCATAGTAGATCATGGGGGTTCTGCCAGCTCACATTAGATCAAAGGGAATCCCCCTAGCTCACATCAGATCATGGGTTTCCCATGACTCACAACAGATCACAGGGATCCCCTAGCTCACATCAGATCATGGGATTCCCCCAGCTCATGGTACTTCACAGGGTCCCCAATGGCAGAACACAGTGACTCTCAGTTCACAGGAGATTCTGGAGTTGGTCACAGCGTTCCTCAGCTCACGGCAGGTCACTGAGTCCCCCTACTCATGGGAGCTCACAACCTCCCCCCAGCTCACAGCAGGTCACCGAGTCCCCCCAACTCATGGGAGCTCACAACCTCCCCCCAGCTCATTTCAGGTCACTTTATTCCCCCAGCTCACGGCAGGTCGTGGAGCCCCCCCACTCATGTGAGTCATGAGGTCCCCCCACACTCATGGCAGGTCGTAGAGCGCCCCCACTCATTGGAGATCACGAGGCAAATCGCAGAACCCCCATCCTGAGTTGGAGTGCTGGTACTAGCTGTACCTCTCATCACCTGTCTCTCCCTGGCACTTCTGTGATTCGGCCTCATGTGGAACAGGATTTCCTCGCTTTCTCTGATCAAACAGAAGCGACCTGTGATCAGAGAGGTGCCAGGCTTAACTCCTCCTTTCTCGAGCTTGGCATTCCCGGGTCGGGCTTTCTGATGGCTCGTGTGGTGGGCAGCTTTCAGGTCCCAAGACCCTGGAACGGCTCCGAGGCACCCCAGAAGGCTTCTCCAGGACTGACTTGCACTTGGCGGTTGTTCCGGTCTTAACAGCGCTAATCTCCTACCACAACTACCTGGACAAAACTAAACAGGTAGGAAGGAGGCTGAGCGGACAGGTGAGCATTCTGGCAGGATGTTGGAAGCCTGACCCTGGACATTGGCCTGAGCCAACGTGCCGTGGGATGGCTTTTGCGAGGCTCAAGTGTCACCCGTGCCTCCCACTGTGGCTGCAGACCCTGTGGCCGAGCCAGCCCGGGCTGGGTCTCTGGCCTCTGAGCACATGTTGTTCTGGAAGGCCAAGGCTTTCCCAGGTGCTAGAGTGTGAGCACACAGTGACTAGCACCTTTTTCTGGACTGTTCCTGGGTGTGTTTGTATCAGTATTGGGACAAGTGGCCATGCTGGTCAGCAGACTTGAGTCTGGGCATTCAGAGTAGGGGGCATGTGGCCATAGACCCTGCACTGCCTGGCTCCCCTGGCTCCACCCCCTACCCCAAGTGCAGGAATTTTCCATCAGGGACTCTGTGAGGGTCTGAATATAGGGCACTGGCTGAGCTGCAAGGAATCCTGGGTAGGGGCTGGGTGTGGAGCACCAGCTGAGGTGCAGGGGGCACTGCGGGCCCTAAGTGTGAGGGAATGGCTGTGTTGTAGGGGATCATGTGGGGAGCTGGGTGTGAGGTACTGACTGCACTGTAGGGGATGCTGTTGGGGCTGGTGGTGAGTACTGGCTAAGCTGCTGAGAACCCTGTAGGGGGCTCAGTGTGGGGTACTTGGCTGAGCTGTAGGGGACCCCTTGGGGTCTGGGTGTGGGGTATTTGGCTGAGCTGTAGGGGACCCCATGGGGTCTGGGCGTGGGGTGCTGGCTGAGCTGTAGGGGACCCTTTGTGGGGCTGGGTGTGGGGTGCTGGCTGAGCTCAGGTTCCATATTTCACTGAAACATGTTCATGTCGCTGACCTTTGTACTCAGCACCAGGCCATGTGTCAGCATGGGGCCGAGTTTAGGCTTAGCTTCCATTTGTCTCTTCATCAGGAAGGGCGGTGCCTGTTGTTTAGGTTCAACTCCAGCCAGAGTCCCTAGTTTGTGGACACCTTAGCTCTTCCAGGGTAACCAGGGTTTGAGAAGTTGTATTTCTCACTGGCCATGACTGGAGATACCCTGCTCCTCAGAGGCCTCCGGTGTTTGCAGGGAGCCCAGTGCAGGAAAGAGTGAGGGTTTGCCAAGACCTGAACTGTCCTTTGTCTGCTGCTGGGTCCCACTGTGGTTGTAGTCATGGGTGACACTGTGTGCTCAGGGTCAGCGTGTGGTCCTGCCAGCTGACCTTCTGGATGGAGTGGGGTGAAGAGTGTGTGTGTGTGGGAAGTGTCTGACCGGGGCAGGACCTCAGACGCCTGTCCCCTCAGCGGGAGATGGTGTACTGCCTGGAGCAAGGCCTCATCTACCGCTGTGCCAGCCAGTGTGTGGTGGCTTTGACCGTCTGCAGTGTGGAGATGCCTGATGTCATCATCAAGGCACTGCCCGTGCTCATCGTGAAGCTGACCCACATCTCCGCCACAGCCAGCATGGCCATCCCACTGCTCGAGTTCCTGTCCAGTGAGTGGGAGGGGCGCACGCGTGTGTGCACCTGTGGGGCATGTGCATGCTTATGGGTGGGGGTGGGGCGTGCTTGCACGTGGGCTCTTGTGCGCACATGTCTGCATGCATGGCTCAGATGTGGCCAGATGTGCAGGGCTGAGCCAGCTCCTCACAGCAGGGTCTCCGCCCCACATGCTGCCTCTCTCTTGTTTTGGGGTGCTGTCCATGCCTTTCATTCCAGTCCTCCTAGCTGGTTCCTCTGTCTCCCCCATGGCAGAGGCTCTGCTGGGGCAGTTGTGGGCTGGATAGCACTGGCTGACTTTAAAGGGTAGAAAGTAAGTGCTTGTGGTCTTGGAGTCTCACTGTGTTCTTTAAAAACAACCTCACAAATAGACTGCAGCCACTATAGATCCAGCCCTGTTTTCCCTTCTGAGCTGAGGTCTAGGGTCAGGAAGCTCTGTTGGACAAAGCTTGTTATATCTTTTACTGCTGGCAGCAACCCCCATTCAGGGTCGGTGGCTTTGGGTACTGATGATATGGGCACCCTTGACCACCATTTCTTCTGATGCCTAGCTCTGGCCCGGCTGCCACATCTCTACAGGAACTTTGCTGCTGAGCAGTATGCAAGCGTATTTGCCATCTCACTGCCCTACACCAACCCGTCCAAGTGAGTGCTGGCTGAGCCCCAACTCCATCCCAGCCCCAGACTCTGCCTGCAGTCCGAGGTTCCTCACCTGAGGCTCCACCTCGGCAGCCCAGTGCCAGGCTCCAGAATCCCTGGGGCTCCACCCCCAAATCTCCCCTCGTGAGCATCCACGCTGGCCTCATCCTTGAAGATCTCAAGACCCCCCTGTAGACTCCATCTTCCAGGCTCTACCCAGCCTCTGCCCTAGCCCCTCACCTTTGCCCCTGGTCTGCCAGGCCCAGTCCTGCACCTTCTCACTGACGGCTGGCAGTTCGCCCTGCCTCTCTGTCATTTTTACCAGTAGGTTGTCTGAGTAGGTTGCCCAGATGCTGTCTTCTAGGTTCAACCAGTACATCGTGTGCCTGGCCCACCATGTGATAGCCATGTGGTTCATCCGCTGCCGCCTCCCCTTCCGGAAAGACTTTGTTCCTTACATCACTAAGGTGGGCCTGTGTCCTTCAAAATGCTGGGGCCTGCTTGGCTTCAGCCCGTGGTGGCTGGAGCAGGGTGCTGGGCAGGAATATGTGGTGTATGTGATGTCTGCTTATGAAGGGAGTGCCTGGCACACCTAGGGAGGAAGGTGCCTTAGGGCCCATGCTGCCCAGCCTCTGGTTCTGATGTGTGTCCCCACCAGGGCCTTCGCTCCAATGTCCTCCTGTCTTTTGATGACACCCCTGAAAAGGACAGCTTCAGAGCACGCAGCACCAGTCTCAACGAGAGACCCAAAAGGTGGGAGGCCCCCCTGGGCCCACAGATCTCAAGGTTAGGGTGTGGGGCTGTGCCATGAGCTGATGACTGGGGACACTCAAGGATCAGGGAGCCGACCACCTCTCCAGGCCAGTGTGAGGGACCAGAAACACTTGGTACAGGGCCATCTGTAGGCAGACATGGGCTGAGGTGGGCAGTGCCAGCCTCTGAGACATGGTGGGCTCATCAGAAACAATGAGTGCCCTAGGCCCGTGAGGTGAATCGCCCCTTGTCATGCCAGCATCAGAGCCTGAGTTGAGCACATCTGCAGACTTGGTCACCAGGGCCTGGTGCAGCATGGGGGTTGGCTTGGGGCTGGGGTCCTCCTGTGCTGAGCAGGCTCAGGGCTGCATCCTGGATGGCAGTTGGGGCTTCTTAGAATCCGGACACCTTTGTGTGGGTGAAAAGGAACCTCGGGGTCTGCAGACCCTTGCCCATGACCCTGGATCCTGTAGGTAGCTGTCCCTGTCCATGTTGGCCCTTCTCCATCACTGTCCCAGGCGCTTGTGCCGTGTCTCAGGGTGCTCTGCTGGCCCATGTGTCCCCTGTGCGTATCACCAAGCAGCTTCCCTCTCTGTGTGCCCCCCCCAGCTTCTTTGGCACTCTCTACATGGGGATACGGCACTTTCCAGACAAGCAGCTCAGTGTGGCCTTCACAAGAGCTGTCCTCCCACTCCCTGACAGGGCGGGCAGCAGGCTTGGCCCCAGCGGCTGCAGCCTCAGGCATGGGGTTCTAGGGCTTCAGGTCCAGAACTGGCCCCTCTTCCAATAACCATAGCCCATCTGGCCAGACAGGGACCTGTGGGCGTGTGGCCTAGTCACAGAGCCTGGAACCTGCCGTGTGGGCATACCATCCTCAGTGTCACTGGCCCCGCTGTCTTTGTTTTGGCACTGCCCCCCCCACAGCCTCACTTTTCTTGGTCCTGTCTGTGAACCCTATTTCATGCGTTTTATTTTCTGTTTCTCTCCTGCTTTCTGCCCCTCTGGCTTGGTGCCTTGTTGCTCTCACCCGTGGGACCTCTCCATCCGACCCTGTGGCCTGTGACCGTCCCTCCTCACGCCTCTACTGGCCTGCCCTCCCCTCCTCGGGAGCGGGCTCCCTGGCCGTGGCTTTGTCTCGCTCGCACCCTCCCTCCTTCCCTTCCTCCCGTTCGGTAGTTTAAGGCTAGCCAGGCCCCCCAGACAAGGCTCAAGCCACTCCCCGCCCGTGAACGAGCGCAAGAGCTGTGCAGCCGAGGCCTTCCGGTGCCGCAGCATCAGTGTGTCTGAACAGGTGGTCCGCAGGTAGAGGCGTGTGGGCTGTGGACAGCCCGGCAGGTGCACCTGGGTGGCGGCGGTGCATGGGGCTACTTGCATGACCTCCATCGCCTGCCCGTGCCCACCCAGGCCGGAGCTAGAGGGCGACCAACCGGAGGCCGCAGCCCCAGGGCCCAGGGAGCCTGGTGGCGAGGAGGGAAAGGTTGCATTCTGTCCCCAGGTATTATCTGCCAGCTTCCTCAACGGCCTGACTAGGGAGCCCACTGTGAAGAAGCTGCCTCTGCCTTCGAGGCACAGGCCTGTATGCCTAGTGCAGGCTGTTCAGGGTCAGGCCTCTGAGCGATCTCTAGAGCAAGCCTCCTTCCCATTTTTGCACTAGAGAGGGCTGCTTTCTGTCCTGTCGGCCAAGAAGAGAACCAGTAGCTGCGGTGTAGGACAGTGGGCCTGGGACCACCCTGTGAGCTCTGCCCTCTCGTGGAGGTAGCCTGGGTCCTCTGCTGTCTGGGCCTTGTAGGCTGTGGGCACTGTGCAGCGTTCTGAAAGAGGTCGCCCCTGTAGCATCTCTGCTGGCCCAGGCAGGCTGAGCAGGGAGCTGCCCCTCCCCTGGGGGGCCCCGTGACATCCAGTCCTCACTAACACTTGGCTTCAGCTCCAGCCTCATGCTGGCCTGTGCCGGGTGGAATTGGTGGACTGCAGGGGGTTGAGGTGGTTGTGAGATGAGACCCCTCTCAGCAACTCTCCAGCATATTCATTGGCACATGTACAATTTGGCACGTGAAAACAGTGGTGAAATTTGTGTAAAGATCCCACCCACTAGGTTCCTCCTAGCAGAGCTCAGAGGTGAATCTAGGGTCCACAAAGCCCATATGCAACTCGTCCCTCCTGGGAAGGCACTGCCCGTCCTGGGCATGGAGTCCCAGCCCAGCCCTGTGGGCAGAATGCAATCTCGGTTGGTGTCTCTGGTCTTCCTCTGCATGACCACAGCTCTGCAGTGAAGCTCTGCTAACTCCCTGCGTGCTTCTGGGCTGGCCACATTGGCTCCACTCCTCTGGTGACAGCTGGGTCTCTCAGGAGGTGCCTTCTGGGGACAGTGTGGTCCGTGCCACCCTCAGGGCCTGGGCCGCTGTGCCCTGGGGCCAGGTGTAGGTGCGGCCAGGCCCCAGGCACATGCATGCATGGAGCTTCTGCCCCAGGTGGTAGTATGGAGGCAAGCCAGCACAGGCCTGACCAGGCCCGTGCCTCCTCCTCAGCAGGATCCAGACTTCCCTCACCAGCGCCAGCCTGGGCTCTGCAGACGAGAACTCCATGGCCCAGGCGGATGACAACCTGAAGAACCTCCACCTGGAGCTGACGGAGACTTGCCTGGACATGATGGCCAGATACGTTTTCTCCAACTTCACTGCCGTCCCAAAGAGGTGCAGTGGTGCTCGGGCCTGTGGCTGCACTGGGCCTGGGTGGGCAGTCTGCGTGGTACTCTGGCTGTGGCCAGAGGTTCACGTTGAGGTATAAGGTGCAGGCGGCAGGTGTGGATGGCATGAGGCTTGGGGCAGGAGGTGCCAACGTGGAACTTGCGGTGGCAGATGTGGGCTGTGCTAGGCTGGGCTGGGAGGTGCGGACCGTGCGGGACTTAGGACAGGAGGTGTGGGTGGGAATGAGCAGTAAGTTGAATGGTAGATATCAAGGTTTAGATTTGGAGGTTCAGGGTTTGGTGAGGTAGGAGGTGCTGGTGCTCCTTAGTCTCGGGCTGGCACTGAGAGCAGGAAGTATATACCTCTGGTTCCTGCTCTTGGACCCCGATTTGGCAGCGTAGTTCTGGGCTCTTCCTGCTAGGAGCCCAGGCAGGCTGTTCTGGGGGTGGGAGTGCATATCTGCCAGCCTCCAGGAGTTTTCGCTTGCATTTGCAGGTCCCCTGTCGGAGAGTTCCTCCTGGCTGGAGGCAGGACTAAAACCTGGTTGGTGGGGAATAAGCTGGTCACTGTGACAACAAGTGTGGGAACTGGCACGCGGTCACTCCTGGGCCTGGATGAGCTGCAGGGTGGCACAGAGACGAGGTGACTATCACCTGCGCCCTGGCTTCTGCAGTGGCTGGACCTGTGCCCCGTGGTCCTCACTTGACTCCTGCAGTTATTTTATCCTCAGCTCTGACCCCAGTGTGCATGTGAGACAGACCAAGGAGGCACCGGCCAAGTTGGAGTCCCAGGCTGAGGCACAGGTGTGCCGAGGGGCCCGGGACCGGGTCCGCTCCATGTCAGGTAGGCCCTGTGCTCCCGGTGCCCAGCCTGTGCCCTGGGAGGGATAACATCTGACCTGGCCCACCACCTGACTGACTGCTGGAATTGCCAGGTACCTGGTCTCATCACCAGGTTTCCCTGAAGTTTTTGGTTGAGCCCTTTTTGCTCTAGTGAGCTGCTGCTGGACTGTGAGCTGGCCTTTCCTGTGTCCCCACGTGCATGAGAGCCCATGCTGTGGGCTCCCTCAGGGCCCTGGGATGCTAGGTTAGCTCTGTGTGGTGGCTTTGTATGGGCTGGATGGTCACCAACTCCTGGACCTCTCCCTCTCCAGGGGGCCATGGCCTACGTGTGGGAGCCCTGGAGACACCAGCCTGCCCCTTCCCAGGAGGCCTCACTTCCCCAGGGCCACAGACCATGCCTGCCACAAAGCCCAAGAAACCTGGCACCCCGATCACAGTGCCAAAGGAGACCAACCTGGCTGCCTACGTGCCCTTGCTGACACAGGGCTGGGCAGAGATCCTGGTGCGGCGGCCCACAGGTACCCCATGCAGCCAGGCTGGAGCAGGAGGAGCTTGGAGGTGGCCCAGGGGCTCGTCCCCGTATTTAGCTCAGGCCCCTATACCTGCAGGAGGGGTGGGAAGGAGAGGGCAGGATAGGTTGGTATGCTCAGAGCGAGGGGGTGCTGGAGGGTGGTAAGTTGAGGTGTGGTCATCTCCAGCTTTGAGCTTCCACACTTGCCCCTTGGGGAGAGATGCCCCTTGGGGAGAGATCAGGTCACTGGAAGCCAGGTCCTTAGTGCTGTCACTGTTGAGGGCTGAGCTCAGGGCTGCTGCTTGGCCGGATCCAGGGGCTCCTCAGGATGGGGTGTACAGGGCCTGTTCCTGGCTTCTCCGCTCTTCTCGCCTCCAGCAGTTGCCAGGAGGAGCTTCAGCCTCATGCTGTTGACCAGGACACGTGGTCCTGGCCCCGAGTGGGAAGGATGCTGTCTCCCAGGGAGGGCGGCCCACTGGAAGGAAAGCCGCTGTGCCCCAGGAGGAAATGGTGTACCACTTGGGCTGGCTTGCACCCCTGGCTGAGGGCCCTACCTCCACCCATAGGGAATACCAGCTGGCTGATGAGCCTGGAGAATCCACTGAGCCCCTTCTCCTCGGACATCAACAACATGCCGCTGCAGGAGCTGTCTAATGCCCTCATGGCTGCAGAGCGCTTCAAGGAGCACCGTGACACTGCCTTGTACAAGTCCCTGTCGGTGCCGGCGGCTGGCACCACCAAGCCCTCCTTGCTGCCCCGTTCCAACACAGGTGAGCGTGCTGGGCCAGCTCCCTGCCTGCTCCTGCCCAGTCTTTGCTGGCTCGCGGCTTGACCCCTGGGCTGTGGGGCCTGCGTGGGGGTCTCAGGCCCCTCTTACACTGTCAGCTTGGGCCAGCAGACTGCTGGACTATGTGGCCTGGACCCCTTCCCACCTAGTGGCCATAGGTACAGCGGGCCGCCAAGGTGCCGGCCTCAGGAGGAAGGCTAGGCCCTGCATGCACCATGCTGGCCGCTGGCCAGGCGCTGCTGGCCTCCCTCTCTCCTCTGCAGGGCGCGGGCCTGCGCAGGGCTAGCGGTGACTGTCCTCTGCTCGACCTGTGCTAGTCTATTCGTCCTGTGACGTGGCCGCTCACATGGTTTCCCTTGCAGTGGCCTCTCTCTCCTCCCTGAGCCCGTCCAGCTGCCGAGGGAAGCTGCACAGGAGCATTTCCTGGGCAGGTACTCACGGCTCAGGGGCGCGGTATTGGCTGCACAGGCCCTCTGCCCTGATGCTGTTCTCGTCGCCCCTTCCTGGCCACGCTCCATGGCCTGCAGAGCCCTCGCCGCCCACCTTTGGGTCCATTCACATGAGGACGTCTGTGCAGACGCCACTGCTTTGCTAGCAGGACCCCAGCCGCACACCCCCATCCCTGAGCTCTGCACGCTTCCCCTGCCCACTCCAGGTCAGAGAGCTTGTCTGAATCTCTGGGCAGCAAGGACCCTGAGCTGCAGAGGCAGCGGCGCAGGACTTGGGGGTCACCAACTCTGGGGTTTGGCCATCCTGACTTGCTCTGTCCTGGGGGTGTGGATGGCAGGTTGGGCTCATCTGCCTGTCCTGGGGTCCATCCTCTGCCCTCTGCCCTCAAGCATGGTGGGGTAAGCGGGCAGACGGGTCTCCTAGGAAGCTAGTGTGCTGTTGAGTGTGTAGGGGGTTGCTGAGGCTGCTCTAATCCTCGGCTGCTGCTTGTCCTCACCAGTGCCCCACTGCCAGCCAGGGAAGGCATCTGGCCACTCCATCCTCCAGTGCAGCTGGCCGCTGCTCTCTCCAGTGTGGCTGGCTGTGGGTTTGGCTGGGACTTGGAGCAAACCTTGCTTTTTGGACTCTTTGAGCAAAGGACATATGTGTGCTGGGACGTCTCAGGTGGCAGCCTTTTCCTCAGGGCTGAGGACAGGGAGGATGCCCAGGCATGCATCCTGGAGCCACCTCCACAGGGTGAACCCCCCCTGCTATCCTAGAAGACTCTGAGGGACGCAGGCACAGCTCAGGGAGCCCAGCAGGTGCCCAAGTCCAGGCTCAACGCAGCAACCTCTGCTGGGCCAGTCTCCTGCCAGTTGCATGGGCTGACGTCTTGGCTCCAGGCCCTGTGGAGGCCACATCTCCACCCAGAGAAAAGGCTGTTGCTTAAGACCTCATGGCTGCTTTGGGCCCAGCATCCACCACACATGTCCTTACAGATTCCCCGGTGGTGCTGGATGGGGCACATGCCAACGAGAAGAGTGTATCCACCGAACCCCCTGAGTTGGAGGACTTTGTGGCAACTCCAATCCCAGATAGGTGCTGCCGGCATGCCAGGGCTTACAGCAGGGTGAGTCCATGAGGCCTTGGGGCTGGAGGCATGGTGGTCTTCAGATACCTGCTGACCCTGGTCCTCCCTGGATACTTCACAGTCATCCTCCACCTCCAGCCAGGAGGAGAAGCCACAGTGTGCAGAGGTCACCCAGGGCATCCCCATTGAGCGGGCCGTGTCCTCTGAGGGCAGCCAGCCTTGCGTGGACCTCTCCTTCCAGCCCTCCCAGCCCCTAAGCAAGTCCAGCTCCTCACCTGAGCTTCAAACCCTGCAAGACATCCTTGGAGATGCTGGGGACAAAGCAGACGGGGTCCGGCTGAGCCCCGAGGTCAAGGTCCGCTCTCAGTCGGGGACCCTAGATGGAGAGAGCAATACTGCCTGGCCAGCCCCTGGTGAGGACAGCCGGGCCCGAGGGGCAGCCCCACAGGAGGGCCCACTGCCCTCAGGCTCCCCACGTTCCCCAAGTGGCCTGCGGCCCCGAGGCTACACCATTTCAGACTCAGCCCCCTCCCGGCGGGGAAGGAGAGTGGAGCGAGATGCCTTCCGCAGCCGGGCAGCTGCTTCCAATGCGGAGAAGGTGCCGGGCATCAACCCCAGGTGGGCTGGGCCTCCCTGCCTGGGTTGGGGTTCGTGGTCACCCTGAGCCCGGTGTCACACCCCTGCCCTTGTAGCTTCGTGTTCCTGCAGCTCTACCACTCTCCCTTCTTTGGTGATGAGTCCAGCAAGCCCATCTTGCTCCCCAATGAGGTGAGCCCTGTGAGGCTGGGGGGAAACCCTTTATGGGGAGGGTGGCCTCTCCTCTTCCAGACTTAAGCCAGTTTCTGTGTGTGTGGCTGCAGTCTTTTGAGCGGTCAGTGCAGCTCCTGGACCAAATTCCGTCTTACGACACACACAAGATCGCTGTCCTGTACGTAGGAGAAGGTCAGGTAAGGCTCCTAGGTGGGAGCGGGAGACTAGGGTCAGTCGGAGGCTGGGGGTGGGGTGGAGAGCCGCTTGCGGGCAGTGGGGCAGGATCCTTGGGAGAGGATGCTGGGACAGCTGGGGTGTAGGGTGGCCCTGCGACCTGTCAAGGGCTGGGTCCTGACGTGTTCCTCAGGATACGTTTGGGGCTGCGTGCCAGGACTGCATGCCAGGCACTATTTTGAAGTGAGAAGACAAATGGTTCTGCCGCTTGGGGCTTGCTGAGGCCTGAGGAGAATGATAGGCACTGGAGAGTTGTATGGTTTGGGTGGTGGCTGCCTCGGGGACTCTAGTTAGATGACAATGAGTCGAGTCTGCAAAGGAGTGAGTGCAGAGATCAGAGGTCCTGACGTGGTGGAAGGCAGCATAGGGAGGACAGGCAGGGTGGTGGCAGGCTACCTCCCCCACACTGTGTAGCTCTGTGAAGGTGGAGGTTCTGTGGTGTGAGGACTGATGGGCTGTGGGGACTCGAGATGTGAGGACTGCTGGGGTGCTGTGGGGGCTGTGGAACCTCAGCTATGAGGGGTGCTCAGTGGGAGTACTGTGGGACCCTAGCTATGAGGACTGCTGGGGGCTATGGGGACCCCGGATATGAGGACTGCCAACAGGGATGCAGTAGGGCCCCCATGTGAGGACTACTCGACAGGGGCTATGGGGACTACTGATGGGTGTTCACGAGGCTGAGGTGCTGCACGGTGGGGTGACGTGGTGATGGAGCTGATGAATGGACCCTTGGCTTACAGATGGGGAAGGGCCTCAGGGTGGTGCTGAGGGTGTCCGAGGCCAGCAGCCTCATGCCATCCCCTGCAGTAACAGGCCCCTGGCCTCTTGTACTGTTCTGGGATGGTGCTGGACATGGGCTGGGACCAGAGCCACCAGCCTGGATGCCACCTCTCTCCCATGTCTCGCAGAGCAACAGCGAGCTGGCCATCCTGTCCAATGAGCATGGCTCATACCGTTACACGGAGTTCCTGACGGGGCTGGGCAAGCTCATTGAGCTCAAGGACTGCCAGCCCGACAAGGTGTACCTGGGGGGTCTGGATGTGGGTGGCGCAGACGGTCAGTTCACCTACTGCTGGCATGATGACATCATGCAAGGTGCGGCCACACACTGGGCTGGGTCCCAGCTGGGCGGCATGGCTGTGGGGGGCCGGTGACTGAGCCCCCCACAGGTCCCACAGACCCTCTCTGGTATTCCATAGCCATCTTCCACATTGCCACCCTGATGCCCACCAAGGACGGAGATAGGCTCCGCTGTGACAAGAAGCGCCACCTGGGCAATGACTTTGTGTCCATCGTGTATAACGACTCTGGAGAGCACTTCAAACTGGGGACCATCAAGGTGGGTGGGGTGGCCACCTCAGACCTGCTTGCAGGCACCCTTGGAGTGTCAGGGGCCCTCCGTCTGGTTCTATCTCCTATAAAGGGAGCTGAAGAGATGGGGTCACCACAGGCTAGTGCAGCTCCTGCTTGTGTGGGACCCCTCGTTAGGCAGGTACCCTATAAATAAAGTGGGGATAGTGAGGGATTTCCGAGAGTCTGACAGAGAGAGCCGCTAGGCTGACCTTGGGGACAGTGCTCATAGACATGGACACTGGCAGGCCTTTAGCCCTGTGAGCTCAGCAGATGGGCAGGGCCACTAGTGCCTGCCAACCTGTCACTCTGAGCCCAGTGACCGTGATGCCCATTGGCCATGTGAACATCCTTGTGTCTGCAGGGCCAGTTTAATTTCGTCCATGTGATCATCACACCCCTGGACTACGAGTGCAACCTGGTCTCGCTGCAGTGTAGGAAAGGTGAGTGTGGACGGCTGGCTGGCGGCCAGGGCCCTGAGCTCTGAGCACCGGCAGACTGAGCTTGTCTCATCAGACATGGAAGGCCTAGTGGACACCAGCGTGGCCAAGATCGTATCCGACTGCAACCTGCCCTTTGTGGCCCGCCAGATGGCTCTGCACGCCAACGTGAGTGACACGCTGCCCAGTGGCCGCCCACAGGCCCACAGAGCTCGACAGCAGGATCAGCTGCCTTTGTACTTCTCCTCACAGATGGCATCCCAGGTCCACCACAGCCGCTCCAACCCCACTGACATCTACCCCTCCAAGTGGATCGCCCGGCTCCGGCACATCAAAAGGCTCCGACACCGGGTAGGGATGCAGGCACGGGTGGGCTGCTGTGGGCTCCAGGGCTGGGGGGCCGCCTGGCATGATATGTCCACTCCTTGACCCCCAGATCCGGGAGGATGCCCACTATGTGAACCCCAGCCTGCCACTGGTACAGGTGTGTCCCCCGGTCCACACCAAGGTGCCAGCTGAGCCTGCACCCACCTATGAGACTGGACAGAGGAAGCGCCTCATCTCCTCGGTGGACGACTTCACAGAGTTTGTGTGACACATCTGGGGCTTGGACACACATAAAGCTAGCAGTCAGCTAACTCATTTATTTGACCTTGTCTGTTCCTGTGGGGGAGGCACTGAGGCTGTAGCTGCAGCTGTGCCTACGGGTGGGGGCACAAGGTGCAGGGGGAGCAGCTCTGAGGGTCCACTAGTATATTGTCACAGCCACTGTCACTCAGTCCCCGGGAGCCAGCTCTGGGGCAGCCTGTCTGAGCTCCTCCCATACAAGCTGGACCCACTGCTGGTAACATCTGTGAAGAGGATGAAGTTGCTGTGATGGGTAGTTGTACCTCTCCAGCCAGCACCCTGGCACTGGCCCAGGGCCGGACTCGGATCCTAGAAGCAATGTCCCTGGTGCCCGGCCCCACAGGCCGAGGCTGGCCCTGGGTGGGGTCTGTGCCCACCACCACACAGTCTTCGGCCTGAGCAAGAGCGACATACAAAAATACACATTTACCCCATTTAAGTTATTGACTGGGGGGGGACATGGGATGCGTGCAGCGGAGGTCAGGGCAATAACTTAGGGGAAGAAGGGGTGCAGGTTCGCCTCCACCTGCAGCAAGGGCACCCCTGCTGGGCTGGGCACAGCCTGCTGCACCTGTACCTGAGGACTGGGAGGGAGTCAGCGCCCAGAGCCTGGGCCTCACTCTGTCCAATACTGCTGTGGCCTCCCGTTGTAGGGGGAGGGGACCCTGGTGCCAGCTGCCCGAGCAGCCTCATTAAAGTGCTAACGCCCACAGGCAGAATCTGGCTGCCTCTGTGGGACACAAGTGCCAAGGGTTCTGCCTGGCCCGGGCCTTCAGGCTGGCAGAGGATAATACTGAGCGGTGTCCTCCACGCCTGTGACCGGCCAGGCAGCTAAGTACTACTGGGCCTCCCTGTGGTCTTGGCCTGCAGAGTTGCCGTGCTGCCCTGTGTCAGGCAGCTGGGCAGAGCTGGCTGCAGGCCATGGGGAGGCGAAGCGGAGGGCCTGCTGGCCCTGCAGCCATGCAGGCCCTGGAGCTGCCTCTCCAGCTGGTATACGTCCTCAGTGGCCTGGTTGAGTCGGTCAAACTGGGCGAGTAGGGCCTCGAAGACAGCGTGCAGGCGTGAGGGCTCAGGCTCTCCCTGCAGCCCTGGCCGGCCCGGGCCTGCCTCCAGCTGGCTGGACGTAGTGGAGGGTCTCGAGGTATCCGAGCCAGCGCTAGGTGGAGGTGGGGCAGGGGACTTGGAGCCCTGGGAGGAGCGGGACGGCAGCGGCTCCATGCCTTCGAAGCGGACCTTGTGGCGGAACTGGGGGCGGCACAGGGGCTTGGTCAGTCCAGCTGTGCCCTGGGCTCGTCGGGCCCAGGGCATGTCCCTCTCCCCCCCACTGGGCCGTACCCACCTCCTTGACCTTGCTGAAGCCCATCCAGAGCCGCAGCCGACGCAGAAACAGCTCTACCATCTCATAGTCCTGCGGTTCCCAGGCTGGTCGGTACAACTCACCACGCAGTGAGTGGAAGTGCCATCGCAGAAGGATGGCGCCCAGTCGCAGGGTGCCCCACAGCCGCAGTACCCAGAGCCCCCCACACAGTAGCAGGGACAGGCGCCAGGATGCACCCGGGCATGGGATGGCCTCCGCACCAGGGCACAGCTCCAGGAGGCGATCGGCAGTGCCACGTAGTGAGTCTACGCCAGCCGAGACCAGCTGCAGGGAGCATGAGAATGAGGGCCAACCTGCCACATCCCCCACCACCCCCAGGCAGCCCTGGTACCCACCAGAACGGCTAGCTGGGTATAGGCCACAGCGAGTATCAGCAAAGCCAGGGTGGCACCAGCAAGCTCTGGCAGGGCCTGGCACAGTGTTTTGCCAAACACGGACCACTGGCGCATAAAGCGCAGCTGCTGGGCGGCCTGTGGACAGGTGGAGGGTCAGTGCAGCTGCTGGGCGGCCTGTGGACAGGTGGAGGGTCCCACTTCACCCCGCCCCAAGACACACCTTGACCAGCAGCAGGAAGAGCAGTGAGGCAGCCAGGCCGCGGGCCACGATGCTCAGCTGCGCCACCTGCTCAAAGCTGGTGAAGTGGTGCGGGCGGCTGTCGATAAAGCGCGCCCACTGGTGGTCAGCAACGGCCAGCTGGGCCAGGCGCACGAGGGCAGCAGCTGCTGCCAGAAGAACCAGCAGCCCCCGTACCCAGGTCCCCGGCTTCGCCACATGTCCACGCCCCTCTCGCCGCCAGGCACGGGCCTCCGCTGCCAGGAAGTGCAGTGCGAACAGCAGGAGACTGGCCTGCAGATGGACAAACAGGCCAGGTCAGGAGGGGCAGGCAGGGCCCAGGGGCCAGGGGCAGGCCATGGCTCACCGAGGTGAGGAGCTGCAGGGACAGGCCAGCACTGAGCCGCTGCAGGGTGAAGGGGCGGATGCTGAGGGTGGCCAGGGCCCGACCAGCCACGGGGAACTCGAGGAGCAGTGTCACGGCGGCGTGCAGCCCCACGGCTGGGCTGTAGCGCGTGAGCTCCACGAAGATGGCACGGCTCCTGCAGGGGGAAGAGAGAAGCCGGCTGGAGACCCCGGACCAGGACCACGCAGGGCCAACAGTGCGGTCCCCGCAGAGGGACAGAAACAATGCACGGCGGAGACAACGAGGAGGCCAGGTGCTGGCTCAATGTGCGGGGTGGTCAGGGCGTAGGTCCACCTGTTGTCCAGCCAACGGTGCTGCTCCAGGAAGTCCAGCCGCTCCTGACTCTCTTCCAGGCTGCGTCCCAGCTCCTCCACGTAGCCCCCGCTGTCATACATGGCGCAAGTGCCCCACTGCCACACCCTGTGGGAGCAGGAAGGTGGGTTGGGGTCATGTGTCTGGGGTACTCTGTGCCCCCAAACCCGGATGTTGCCGCACTGCTCACCCCCACAAGTCAGGTGCTGAGTAGCTCCACGGGGTAGAGCTGTTGTGGATGCCAGGCTCCCAGCCAACACTGTAGTCGCTGGTGCTGAAGCCCCCCATGGCTGTGCAGGGGTGAGCACTGGAGCCTGAAGGGCCCTGCCGGGGAGCTGAAACACAGATGCACACAGCTGGATCACCACACCAGGCTGCATCCCCACGTCCTCCACACCCACAAATGCATGTCACCTGCCTGGCAGCATCTACTGGCCCACAGCTGCCTGCCCCCCAACCCCAGGACAGCGGGAGCTGCCCCCAGGACAGCATGGAGCCATCATGAAGTTCCCATGGCTGTCATTTCACTCTCAGTGTAAACACTGGATACCCTCACTGTGCTGTGGAGTGGATGCTGAGTGGAAGGCCCAACTCAAAGTTAATGGTTGAATATTTTAGCCACAGCACCACCACCAGAGCTCCTTCACCAGCTCGGAATGTGAGACTGTTTATGCAGCATTTTACATTGTAACCAGAGTGAGGGGTAGTACCCAAAGGCCTCCCACCACCTCCCATCCCACCACCTCCCACTGAGTCAGGTGTGTGTGTGTGTGTGTGTGTGTGAGTGTGTGTCTCCCAGGAGACTCCCATTATTTGTCATCTTTCTTCCTTGGTGGGTTTGAACTGTGGACATTTTGGCTGTCAGCTCAATGCACTGTGCCCCCAGCCTCTGGGGCAGGGAGGCCCTCTGCGTGGGGCCAGCAGCGACCCACTCACCTTCCTGCAGGCGCACCTGCCGCAGCCTTGGGGGTCCCAGCTCTGGGTTGGACCAGTTTCCATGGACATAGGGGAGCAGCACTCGGGCCATCCATGGCCAGAACTCATCAGACCTGCCAGGACTCAGCAGTCACCAGGCTGAACCGGACGCCCAGGCTGACCAGGGCTCAGAAGCCCCGGGCATGGGGACACCCCTTCCTTGGCCTGACAACTGAGCCAGGTCAGTGACTGGAGGAGACGTGTCAAAGGCCCTCACGCCCAGATTTCCGCAGCACCCCATCCTACAGATATGTCTCCAGACACTACCCAGTGTCCCCTGGGGTGGGGGCGGAGTGGCTGAGCCGAAGAGTCTTGTACCTAGTGATGGCCAGGAAGGCCCTGCTGTCCAGCTCCTGCTTGATGGCGCTCTGCAGGCGGTACGCGTGACTGTGGCACGAGGCATCTCCATAGTTGGCCAGCAGTGTCACCAGCAGGAAGAGCATGTACACCAGCAGGTTCTGGGGAGCCAGGCCGCCGTCAGTGCTCAGCACCCCAGACCACCCAGAAGTCCCACCTCACAGGACAGACCTGTCCTTGGTCCACAGGGACCCGGTGCCCTGAGCCCCCCAGTAGGTCCCACCTCACAAGATGGACCCAACTGTGGTCCATAGGAAGTCGGGGTGAGGCAGACCACCTGACTGTTCCACAGAGCTGCCCTCCTGGGACAATGGAAAGCAGACTGTCCATGGTCAGGGCAGCACAGTCACCGGAGCTGAGACCTCAAACCCCCTGGGCTGAGAGGCAGGGTGGGCAGCCACCTTGTCAGGAGGACGGTGGGTGCAGGCCGGGAGACAAGGTGACGACACGGAGGCGGGCAGGAGGTGCAGGGACGCAGCTCACCCTCAGCACCCCGTGCAGCCTCTTGACCTTGCGGGCCTCCTCCTTGGCCAGAAAGAGTGCAAAGCCGTGGGGGGGCCGGACGCGGGGCACACGCTCGCTCACAGGCGCCACAGCGGCACTCTCCACCAGCATGTCGTCCTCATCGGGGTGCAGCCGCTTGGCCACCAGCGAGAAGTACAGGGCCTCTAGTAGGACCTGGGGTGCGGGCAAAACATCAGTGGGGGTGCCAGTGCTGCAGGGGGGTGTGGCAGCAGAGGGCTAGGCCCCGGCCCACTCACCTTGAGTGGCTCCCAGCCCAGGAATGAGGCCAGAAGGCTGCAGGTGCTGGACAGCAGCCATAGGACACTGACCCTGGGGGGGAAGCTGGCGCCCACCCAGCCTGAGAGGCCCACTGACAGTGCCACCAGGAGCAGGCTGAGCCCATGAGCCAGGCGGGCACACCAGGCTGGCAGCAGACGCTTTCTCAGACCCTCCACCAGCCCTGGGGGAAAGACGGAATGACTGGTGGTTCGAGCAGGGCTGCCGGGCAGTGAGTGGGGACCTGAGGTGGTACCTGTACCACAGAGCCTGGCTGATGGGGGCTCTGCCCAGCCCAGCCCAGGGGCAGACGGGCCTTTCTCCTCAAGTCTGTGCAGCATCAATGCCTCGGTCCTCTCCCCGGGACTGCTGGACCTGAACACGGAGTCAGTTGTGAGTGCCCCATCCTCTCGGACCACATCCCCCCACTCCCTCCTGGAACCCAGGGAGACCAGGGTATGTGTGGCTGGGCATGCAGGACACATGGGCCTGCTGCAGAAGCCTCCCCTTCTCTGCTCCCTTCCTGCCTGCATGTCAACCCCAGCCTGTGTCTGCATAGACTCACGCTCTCAGCCCAGTCCTGTGGGACCTTGTCCCAGCAGATGGGTAGCTGTCACCCCGCACTGCCCAGTGTGGTTATCTGGATGCCCCTGGCATATAGAACCTTCTGTACCCCACTCCCCAGCATACACACACTCCACACGAGCGCACGGTCCCTCATGCAGTTTGCACCCTGAGATAGAGAAATGTTTGTACACAGTCAGACTCTGACAGTGCACGGGGTTCAGGGCACCCTCAACGCTGCCCGTCCCTCGGAGCCACCAGCCAGGGGCATGTCGTTGGGGCCCTGACCTGCCCGACTCCAAAGCAGTTACGTGACAGAGAAGGAGAAGCTGCAGGAGTGAGAGGAGAAGAGAGTGAGGCTGGAGAAAAGGAAGCGACAGCAGACTCGAGAAGGGAGAAGGCTCACAAGCCACGCAAACGGGACTGTGGCCAAGCGTGCCCCGAGGTGGCTGGACGCCAGGCGGAAGCAGGCACCCCCAGGAAGCTGAGGGGCTACACTGTGCTCCTGAAATGCTCCTGTACAGTAAACGCTGATAGGCGCAGTCCAGCTCTGACACACACGACCTCACGTCCACACAGTGAACCCTGTCCAGGCTGACACTATCCCATGACCTCTGCTGTGGCCACTGTCCCTTGCATCTTGCTGAGCTATCCTCTCTCGCTGATGCTCTACCAGGCATGACGTCTTCCTCCAGGGACTGATCTTCCCTAACAGCACACCCAAAGGTCATGTGACCCAGTGTGGCCATCCCGTGTTCTGAGGAGCATTGTGGCTGCACTTCTAAGCCAGATCTGTTTGTGGTTTTGGTAGTTTGTGGCATATTCAATACTCTGCCAACACTCCTATTTAAAAGCATCAATTCTCCTTCTTATTAACTGTACAACTTTCACATACAGATGTTGTTATGTGCGGTCAAGTCACTTGCCACTCAGCGACCCCTCACAGCTCTGAACCCTGCTTTATCCTGTGCCAATTTCTGACACACCTATTCCCATTACCCTAGTCACTGAGTCAATTCATCTCATCGAGGGTCTTCCTCTCCTGTGCTGTCCCTCTACCCTTCCAAGCATGACGTCCCTCTCCAAGGACTGGTCCCTCCTTGTAACATGCCCAAAGTTTGTCAGACAGAGCTTCAGAATCATTGCCTCCAAGCAGCAGCCTGTTTTCACTTTCTGCAGGACGAACCTATTTGCTCTCCTAGCTGTCTATGCATATGAAACAACTGAAAATATCAGGGCTTGGACCAGCAACAACTTAAGTCTTTAACCTGACATCCTTGCCCTTTAGCACTTTAAAGGCTGTTGACCCCACATCTCATGCTGAGTTTGGGGATGCCCTGTTCTGCACCAGTAGATAGCCAGTGTACTGGGGAGGGGCTGAAAATGCTGAGGGCGAGCAGAGCCCAGAGACCCCAGGAAGCCCTGAAATTGTCCCGCAGGGGACAGTGCAGTAGGAAGGGCAGGAGCAGGTGCAGAGGAGGAGCCGTGATGCCTGATGCAGAGAAATGCATGCGGGAAGAACACTTATCCAGGGCTAGTGGGAGTGCAGATTCAAAATGGGTAGGTGGGTGGGACCTGAAGGGTGAAATGGAGCCTCCACTAGACCCAGTGGTCCCAATCCTAGGGGCATATATGCCCAGGAACAAGGAGAGCAGGACACAGACAACCTGTACACCAGTGATCTCCACAGGCCAGTAGGGAGCAACCCACGAGGCGTCCACCTTCAGGTGTCAGGAAAGGAAACATGATGTATGTGCATACACAAGACAGATACAGCCACAGAGAGGACGACAGAGCCCTGGTAGCACTGCAGGGAGTGTACTGGGCTGCTAAGAGAAAGGCCAGTGGTCTGAATCCACCAACCACTCGGGCAGTTCCCCCCTGTAAATTTTGTGCCTCAGAACCTGATACACGAACCTCATGAGATGGAAGTGACTTGAGGGCAAAGGGTTTGAGTGGGTTTATAAAAAAAGTGTGCACTGAGGCCTACGCCCCCAAGACCCCAGCCTCTCACCCTGCATTCCTGCCACACTCCTGGCCACCCAGGAGGCCCTGACCTGGCCTCAGTGGACATGCAGGATGGAACGGGAACAGCCAGGGGAGCCTTTCCACACCCTTCCACAAGGGCTCGGACACTCACAGGCTAGTGAGCATGTCTGTGTCCATGTGGGTGTCCTGGGTGGGGGCTAGGCTGCTGGCCCCTTCAGCCAAGATCTGGCGGATCAGGTCTTCATCTGGGAGTAGGAGGCAGTCAGAATGGGCCAGCCTCTGAGGGGTGCCCACCACCCCACCTCCCTTGCCTGCTAACCTGATGCTGAGAAATATTTGGCGGGAGAGGAGGGGTTGACCATGGAGAGGCCGTCCTCCTCCAGGCCCAGTGTGCGGCCCGGCAGGCCACACGCCAGTCGCTGAAGGGTGCTGCCCATGATGGACGGGTCATTAAGCAGGTCTGGCCAGCACAGTGAGCCCTCGCTGGATGGCCAGCACACCAGGCTACAGGGGATACAGGTCAGGCAGGGGGCCAGGCACAGGTTAGCAAGCACCCTGACCCACAGCCTAGACCTCCAGACCTACAAGGTCCACTCTTCCTCATGGGCCCCACCTTTTGGAATCCTCCAGAAATAAGTCATTTCTCATCTGTTCAGCAAAGACCTGTTGAGATGTACATAGAGGGCCTTCAGACCACCAGAGACAGCAGAGCTGCTCCCACTCCCTCTGGGACTCTGGTTAGGATGTCAACCCCCCCACTCTGGGGACCCCGGTCAGAATGTCACTGCCCCCAAGTCAGAATGTTGCCCCAGAACCCTAGGGATCCTGGGCAGGGCAGGACATCGCCCTCCCTCCCCTGGAGACCTTGGTCAGGATGTCAAGCCTTCCACTCTGGGAACCCAGTCAGGATTTCACCTCCCACTCTGGGGACCCTGTTCAGGATGTCAAAACCCCCACCCTGAGCAGGATATCAGCTCCCTTCTACCCTGGGGACCCTGGTTAGGATGTCACCCCACCCCCACCCTGAGGACCCGGGGCAGGACGTCACACAACCTCCACCCTGGGGGCCCTGGTTGCGCCATCACCTCAGCACGGAGACCTGAGAAGGTGAGGAAGGAGCTGTCCAGCACAGGTGTGTCCAGGTAGCTGTCAATGTCCACCACCCGCTGCTGAGTGGGGGTGGCGCTTGGGCCTCCAGCGACCTGCAGCAAGAGGGTCACTGGGGACTTGTGCTTTATTTGCACAGCCCAATGGAGGTACATCTGGGAAATGGAACAGATTCAGTTCCATACTAAGCAGTATTGCTCTGTTGACCAAGTCACATAGATTTTTCTTGGTCACAGTGTGTGAAAAAGTGACATCTGCACTACACTGTGGTCTAGCAAAGGACCTGAGTGGCACAATGGTTAAAGCTGTCAGCTGTGAAATGAAAGGGCACCACTTTGAATGCACCAACGACTCTGTGGGAGAAAGTGGTGGGAATCTGCTCCCAAGGTTTACAGCCTCAGAAACCTCCCGATCTTATAGCGTCACCTTGAGTCTGAAACCACACAAGAGCAGGATTTGTGTGTTCTGTTAAGTGAGGAAGTAGCAGTATGAAATATTGCAAGAAAGACTGTAACATGGCCAGAGACTTGACATGAGTGCATGTTGTTGGAAAAATGAACAGAAGGCTGCGGTGAGGTTTTGGTTTGTGAAGTGTGGGATCTGTGAAGACAAGGCAACATGGAGTCCCACCTGGTGGCTCCAGCCCACATGTGGACACTGTCCACTTAGAAGACAGCAGGAGCAGTTAGTGACCTGAATGCCCCTCCTACTCATCTAAACACAACCACCACCATGGCCAGCCCCATGGGTCAGGCTCCATGGACCTTTCCATATGTTCCTGTACCTGCTGGCTAGATCTTATCAAGGATTTCTGCATCCAAACTCACAGAGGGTGACGGTGTGCAGTTTGCTTGTCTTGGGATATTTTCCTCTGTGTATCAGGATAAGCTCCACTCTGTGGAAAATTGTTCCCTCCTCTTGTTTTGATTTTGTTTGTTGTGTTGGTTTTGTGTGTGTATTCCAGTTGTATTTTTTTTTAATTCACTGCTGCACATTTTCCCAACCCATCCTACAATGCACCCCTTGTTCCAGATTGTTGTCATACATATAATTAATGCCTAATCTTCTATTCCTTTCAGACAGTTCTTCCCCTCATCTGTTCTAATGGAGCGTTCATTATCTATCCACTCTTTCCCCATTCGCTCCCCAACCCCATCTGTCCTTTTTCCTAAAGGTGGTGTTACGCAGTGTTTGTTCTTTTGTGGCTGAGAAATTTCATTAAGCATAATGTCTTTCAGACTCCCTCATGTGTGTAATGTTTTATAAGTAATATTCCATTGTGTTTTTCTATGTGCATACATCTGAGTTTTTCTCTGTGTATACATCTGAGTCAAGGCTCTGGTTTCTTTGGGGTATATTCCCAGTAGTGGAATTGCTGGGTCAAATGGTGTTTCTAGTTTCAACTTTTTGAAAAAGTACCAGACCGCCTTCCATAGTGGCTGTGTCATTTTACATTGCCATCAGCAGTGAATGAGAGTTCCAATCTCTCCACATCCTTGCCAGCAGTTGTTGTTCGCTGCCCTGTTGAACTCTGCTATTGTTGTGTTGTCTCTGCTAAAGGGGCACCAGATAACTGAGAGCACTTGTCACCCTCTTCTCTGATTTGCTGGCACCCAGGTGGGCACATAGACCTGGGGGATACTTTCTGGTTCCACGTCACCTTCTAGTAGAGTCCCTTCTTTCATTCCCAGTTCCAGTAATTTCTATATTCCCTCTTTTTTTCTGGAGCCTGGCAGCTAAGCAAAAGATGGGCAGTTCAAGCCCAGCTGCTGCTCAGAGGGACAACGTGCGGGCTGGCCACTCTCAGAGCGTCACAGCATCAGGAACCCTGTGGGCAGTTCTAGCCCATCTTACAGGGGCTCTGAACGCAAAGGGATTCAAAAGCAGGGTTGGGTTTTTGGTTCTCTGGTGGCACAGCCCAGGCGGCACCCCATCTCTGGCCCAGGCCCATAGCCCACCTTGCTTCGGGACATGCGGAAGAGAAACAGGATGACCAGGTAGAGGGGGTAGACGACCACACTGGACACCAGGCCCACAACGACTGTGTCCACGCTCAGCGGGATCAGACTGGACACGGGGCGTGTGCTGGGGGTGAAGGGAAGGTGAGCATTGTCAGGCTAGGGAGTTGGGAGGGAGCTGGACAAGGGAGGCCACGCGGACCCCAGAGGCACCTACCTGTGTGCTGTGTCTCCCACGACCCCATACCACATTGTGTTGGCACCCAGGAAGAGGCAGAGCAAGAGGACACAGCAGGTGGCCCGCTGGACGCGGGTGAAGCGGCTGCGTGGAGGCCGGTCCCACAGCGAGAGCCAGATGTGCTTGTCAAAGAAGCCACGCTGCAGCTCGGCCACCAGGAGGCGCCGGGACCGCCGCAGGGCCGCATCGCCTGGGGACAGGGGGCGCTGCAGGAGGCTGCATGGGGCGCCCACCCCACCCCATCATCTCTTGCCTGGATGGGGAGCCCTACTTGCTGCCAGGACCTCCTTCTCCACCAGGCCCCCATTGGCCTCTGTCTCCACAGACAACCAGTCGTTAACCAGGAAGAATGTGCTGCGTGCACTCTGCAGGTCCCGAACTATGATGTGCTGTAAGAACCAGGCAGGGCTGAGCCCTGCGGGGCGGTCAGGGTGCCGGGCGGTCAGGGCACAGGTAGACTAAGCCAGTCAGCGCAGTCAGGGCCCCGTGGGGCAGGGGGTGGTCGGGACAGAAGCAGCTGGGCCCAGTGGGGCTCAGGATGGTTAGGACATGGGCAGCCTAGGTCATGCGGGGCAGTGAGAGGTTATAGTTAGGGTAGTCAGGCAGTAAGACATGTCTTAGCCATATAAGGAGTGGTTAGGGTCTGAGAGGGGTGAACTCTAACTGGAGCAAGTCGGGTGGGGTTATCAGGGAGTAAGTTAGGGACGGACCACATAGCTTTGGGCAGAACCACCTGAGACAGGCTAGGGGGCAGTTAAGGACCGAGAAGGGCAGGAGGGCTGAGGCAGCCGGATGGGGTGAGGGGCAGGGGAGGAGAGGCTGGGCGCTGCATGTGGAGTGTGGGGAGAAGTTAGGGTCATGCAGAGGAGTGGTGGGGAACTGCACAGGGACTGGCCAAGCCATGGGGCAGGGGAGCAGTGGGAGTAACCAGGTGGGCTGGGTGGGTGGGGCCTCACCTTTGTTGTCGTGCCAAACACGGATTTTCCACACGCTGCCCAGGCTGTGTGGTGTGGCGATCTGGAAGATGTCCAGGCTATTGCGGTGGAAGACCCCATGCCCATCCAGGTGCCTGTGGCCGCTGCGGCTATCCGCCCCGTACAGCATGATACCAACATGCGCAGTGGTACCTGGACGGGGGCAGCAGGAGCCGGCGCGAGGTGTCGGAGCTGCCTTGCTGGCCCCTAACCACCGACCTCCCAGAAGCACATGGCCACGGCTTCCCTGCAGGACAGCTGGTGGCTTCAGACCTTGGTCTTCCCAGGTAATGGTCGAGCACTTTAACCACTGCACTGCCAGGACTCTTTAAAGGTCCCAGGATACTCTTAACTCTCTGGTCATTCAGGAAACCCCCACAGCTGTGCAGTCAGGCCACACACGGCAGGCTGCCTGCTGTCCACAGGCCACCTCTGAGCTCGGTGCTGTCCGTGGGGGCATGTTACAAGGGCTCTGCATCAACGCAAACCCTGAACACGTGCACTTAGTGTGTTCCCTGTCACATCTCCAGATGTCTCCTTACCTGAGCCCCGGCCCCAGCCGGTCTTGACCAGGATCTCGTACTTGAAGTGGCCAGCTTTCCCACAGAACGGGATGACCTGGACTCGGCGCATGTCCAACTGGTCCAGCTTTTGCAAGACCACAGCCATGACCACATAGGTCACCAGACACACGGTGCATGTCAGGAGGACGACATAGTTGATGCCTGTGGATGGCTCCTAGGGGCATGGCACAAAGCGTCAGTGTGGACCATCCAGGGTCACCAGGGGGTGCAGGGGCCTGGGGACACAGCAGGTGCCACTCACAGGGTAGATGAAGGTGACTTGGCTAGGGGGCACGAGGAGGCTGGCACCAAAGGCAGTGAGGTGGCGAGTGAGGCAGACGGCTTGGCTGGGTGAGGTCTCCTCAAGGGCCACAATACCCTCTGTGCGCCAGGCCATGTCCTCCTCGCTGAAGTACTGACACAGTGACGTGTACAGGCCCACGGACACCTCCAGTGCAGACCAGTGGAAGTGGCTGGTCAGATTCAGGTGGTAACTCCCGCCTGGCTCACTGGTCCTGGGAGTGGGGGTAAGGGTCAGGGCTGGACTCCAGGCCCATTCACAGGGCCACCAGCTGGCAGCATACACCCCAGAGTTCCTCCACAGCCCACACTCACCCTGGGGCGATAAAAAAGGTATAGGGCTTGTGGTCCTCGCCTGCCAGCTCCTGGAGGCCGATTTGCCGGCTGGCCGAGCAGTTGTGCTCATTGGGAGCAGCCTCCGTGTGCAGGTACACAGCTAGGTAAGGCTCAGGCTCTTGGGACAGGTAGCTCTCTGGGGGCAGAAGGCAGGGTTAGGGGGCCCCTCTCACCCTACAGGGGCCCCCCCCACCCCTACTCAGTCCACAACCCCCTCCCCATGTCCCACTCACCATCAAGAACCCTGAACAGGAGCTGGAGGTGCAGCCCAGCCGCCGGGTTGTTGCTGTCCAGGGTAACCTGGGCACTGACTGAGGCCCGTGGTGGGACAGTGGTCACAGACGTGGGGGACACGGTGCGTCTCAAGCCAGCACTATTGGGCACCATGACAGTGATGGCACGCTCAGAAGCCAGCCGCTCGATGGGGATCTGGGTGCCTGCTTGGGTCTGGAAGGCCATGGAGGCCACCTTGGTGGAAACTGTGTAGTTGCTGATGTAGCCAAAGGGGAAAGGGTTGGAGTCAACCAGGAAGATGAGCTGCACCACATCACTGCGGCCGGCCAGGGCCCCACTGAAGGCGGCAGGGATGGAGAAGTGGCAACCAGGGTCGGCGGAGTGGCCAGAGCACAGCAGGCTCAGGGGGTCAGAGCGCTTGCCCTGGGCCACGATTTCCTCTCCGGCCAGTGTCAGGGGCTCCTCATTGAGCACCCGGGAGCGCATGAGGATGCGCATGAGTGCTGAGGACAGGTTGTAGGCCCGGGAGGCCACAAGCAGGGAGGGCGCCCCCAGTGCATCGGGCTCCTCAGGCTTTGCGTTCTGCACGTTGGTGCTGGCTAGGTGGATGAGGTCGCCTGTGGGATGCAGTGGAGGATGGGGTCAAAAGGCAGTAGTGGTGGCAGAGGTCAGGCTGGGGACCTGGGAGCTGCGGTGGGGCGCACCAGTGATGTTGAGGATGCTGTCGGCAATGGCGGTGGGCGTCTCGGTACCCTCAGTGGTCTCAGCCTGCAGCACGCGCATCATGGCCTCTAGCTTGTGAAGAGTCTTCTTCAGGCATGGCTGGTACACCAGCTCCCTGCGGGACACCTGCCAGAGCCAATGCACCTTTGGCTGTGCCACCCTTCCAGGGACCCCTGCCCTCACAGTCACCCCTGAGGAGGCCTAGCCTGTTCCACCCACTGAGGAACCACAGCATCGTGCTCACCAGGTCCTTCCCAATTGAATAAATCTTACAAAGGACTCAGAGCAGGGCAAGACTGTGCCCAGGTATAACTCTGCCTCCACTCTCAGGACTGGAGTGGCCTTCACTGCCTGTGCTGACGCCACGGGCACTGCTCCACACAGCCACTACCTGACTACGGTGAGGTTAGAGGGCTGCAGGCTTGGCAAAGTCAGCCCTCCTACACCAGGCTGCTTCTATGCACTGAGCTGACCAGTACACCCAAGAGCCCATGTTAGGCCTGCTTAGGACGGTAGGGTGTGCCATGGGGGATGGAGAGACTGGGTGGGAGCTGTGGGGTACATTCGGGAGCTGGATTCTCATGAGGGAATGTATGTGGAGAAGCTGGGTGGGAGTTATCAGGTACATCTGGGGGCTGGATTTTCCTGGCATTAGGTATGTAGACAGAAAGCTGTGGAGAGAATCTGGTAACAGGCTGATAATTATGGAACTCAGGGGGCTCTGTGTGTGACGCACAGGGACCAGTATCATGGGGTGGGTAGGTTGGTTGGGGGATTGAGTAATATATGAGGGCAAGGGGGTTTTGTACAATGACCGGGGAGTCATGAGGGACATTCGGAGGGGAGTCATAGTGGGGTGTATAGGGCTTGTATAGAGGGCATATCAGAACTAGGAGGTTGTGCTGGGGGTGCAGAGAGGTAACAGGGTGATACAGGGGCTTCAGGGACTGGTGGTGGGGAGGTGGGTACCGTGCACTGGGCCAGCGCAGCCGCAATCTGCTGAATGTCGTCAACAGTGTCCACACGCAGGGACACCAGCGTCTCTGTAATATTTCTGCGCATCTGGCCGCGCAGCTGCCGCTCCTGAGGAGGCTCCTCCGCAGCCACTGGAGTCTGTTCATACTGCAGGGATCAGGGCCGGTGGAGGGGATGTCGGTGAGTGTCCAGTCTGAGGCCTGTTCTCCACCTGGACCCCTTCCCAGGATTGTGTCATCATGGCAAACCAGGTGGGCAGGTGGGTAGCCAACTGCTCTCTCCCAGCACTACGCGATGGGGAACTGTGGGTGCAGACGGCTGACACAGGATCCAGGGACAAGCTAGATGACAAGCTGTGACTCTCCTCTAACAGGGGCTGGGGACAAGCTCCGTGAGAGGCTCTCAGGAGGCCACGCCCTCTGCCACGGCGCACACACCTTGACCAGCTGCGTAAGATGCCCTTCTCACCCTGCCATCTGCTCAGAAGCCCTGCTCCTACAGCACCCATATCATTTTGTTGAGCTGCCCTACCCACCTCACATCGGTGGTGGTGGTGTTATGTGCTGTCCAGTCGCTTGCAACCCATAGTGACCCTATGTATAACAGCCCTAAACCCTGCTCCATCCTGTGCCAAACTTATTGTCTTTGACATACCTATCCCCACCACCCTGGTGACTGAATCAACCCATCTCATTGAAGGTCTTCCTCTCCTGTACTGTCTCTCCACCCTCCCAAGCATGACATCCTTCTCCAAGGACTGATCCCTTCTTGCAACATCCCCAAAGTATGTCAGATGGACCTTCAGAATTCTTGCCTCCAAGGAGCAGCTTGGTTTCAACCTCTCAAGGTTGAACCTGTCCTAGCTCAGTGGTATCAATTCTCATTCTATCATCCCTAGTCATTGTCCAGCTTTCTGACGCATAATAACTGCAAAGACTACACCCTGGAAAGGGAGCTCTAGTGGCCTAGTGGCAAGAAGCTCCACTGCAATCCCTGAGGTACAAGGTTTGAATCCACCAGATGCTGTTCTGGAGAAGGGGCAATCTCTTCCTATACCAGTCAGATCCATTTGACGGTACACACACACAAAATAATAAAATAAAATTTAAAAATTTGGTACCAAGCAGGAATCTCCCCCATCCATCATGTGGCCGGAGTCCCCACCCATCTGACACACGACCCCACCCTGCTGGTTAGGAGGCCCGCCCACCCCTCTTACACAGGCCCACCTGCAGTTCAGGAGGTCCCATCCACCAATCCAGTGGTTAGGAGCCACAGCCCCTCCACCCGTTGCGCTGACCAGCCTGCAGCACCCACCTCGTTGAGCACAGTGACCAGGGCCAGCGAGTATTCGATGACATGCTGGGGGTCAGCCTGCCGCAGCAGTCCCGGCAGCTTGCTTTCCGTCAGGCTGTGTAACCAGTGTGTGAGGCCCGGGCCATCGGGGGGCTCAGGTGGCACGATGACCAGGGACCTATGAAAGCTGCTGTCAGAGCCGGGCCGCCTGGTGTTCCTCTTGCCCCCCTGGCCACTCAGGCTCACCTGTTGAGGGCAACCACGGCGGCACCCAGCTGGTCCTGTACGAGCACAGCCAGGCCCACAGTGAAGTGTGGTGGAAAGCCAGGTGGCAGCACGGCCCCGTAGGCTGGCAAGCTGCCCTTGTAGATGCAGAACTCCTCGCAGTGGCCCTGGCGGCAGCGCCGCAGCAGCAGGGCATACAGCAGCGGAGCACCCGCATCTTCTGCATCACGCCAGCCTGCAGACCACAGCATCACCAGAGGCCCATGTTTCACCAAGCACCCTGAGTGCTCCCATCTGAGATGGCGTCAACTAGCACCTCCCCTACCCTGGGTTAACCATGGGGGGATCCTCCTCTAGGCCACCCCTTATCACCAAGTGCCCCCCACCGGCCGCTGCACTCACCCACGCACTCGAAGTGCAGCTTGGTGGTGAGGGCGTGCACGTTGTCCAGCGGGAAGAGACGGCAGGAGCCACCCAGGGGGGGTCGGTTGGGGGAGAGGCGGATGGAGGCACAGCCCTCCTCCTCACCAGAGCTGCCCAGCACGGTCAGCGTGAAGGTATAGCCCTCGCCGTCCTGCAGTGCGCCGCGCCGTACCACCAGCCGCATGCCCGTGCTGCCTGTCGACGTGGTGGTCTCGTCCAGGACCAGCATCTGGTTGCCGAAGGTGCGCGCTGCCCAGCGCTGAGGGAGGGGGCGGGTCAGTCAGCATGTGAAGGGGGGGCGGCCAGCACAGTGATGAGAACTGACATCAAGGGGACTTCAGCGAGGGGCATCGGGCAAGGTGGCGGGGAGGGCTAGACTTCAGCAGGGGAGAGGCGGGTCGGGGACTGTGGGGTAGGAACCCTGGGTGTCTGTTGGGGTGGGGCTGGACTTCAGCAGGTGAGGAGGGCAGGGAAAGCATGTTGGAGGGTCAGGCATCAAGGGGGGTGCAGGTGTGGAGCTAGATGCCAGGGGTGAAGGAGGATGAGGGGTAGGAGTGGGCACCGCGGGAGTGGGGCATGTGGGGCAGGCATCAAGAGGTGTGTGTGGGCGAGTGTGGAGCTAGACGTCAGGGGGGTTGAGGGGTGAGGGTGGGCACCACGGGGGTGGGGCATGTCTTGAATTAGACCTTAGGGGGGGCTGTGGGCTTGAAGCTAGATGTCAAGGGGTGAGTGGGTGCAGAGTGAGGGGGTGAGCAGGTGCGAGATGGGGGGTGTAGGTGTTGCGGGGAGGGGGGTAGGGCATAGGGAGAGACCATACTGAAGCGGGTGAAGAGTTGGGTAGGAGACCTGCGTGTGTGGGGGACGGGGGAGCACATCATTAAGTAGGCATCAAGCGGGGGTAGGGCTAGACGTCAGAGGGTGAGGGGTGTGAGGTGGGTGGTGGAGTAGGGGAGACAGACCTACTGCAGCAGGTGAGGTGGGCTTACCCCCTGCTTGGAGCCACGGCTGCAGTTAAGGCAGTGACCCTCCAGGTACACGTGCGAGCTGCGGCTCACTTCATAGACGGCCTGAGCCTTGCAGGACACACACTCCAGGGACACGATGGGCACCCGTCCACTCCGGATCAGCACCTAGGCCGGAACAGTGAGGTCCTGGGAGTAGCTGCCAAGACGGGGCTACTCTGGGGGATGTCTGCCCTCCAAATTCCTCAGGGCATGGCACCCCCCCCCCCCAGCATCCAGCTCAGCCCCAACCTGGGCTTTCTTCTTTTGGAGTGGGGAAAGGTCCATGACAGGCTCATTCTCTGTAGCCACTGGTAACACCAGCCACAGCCTGTGGTCACCTGTCCACTGTCTTGCTCCTCCTGGACTGTAAGCCATGGGGGCGAGGGGTAGAACTATCATCTGACTTGCTGGGGGCACCAGGTGACTTATCCAAGAGAGGACAGTGGCCACCTCAGTGTCAGGATTCACTCTGTCCTCACTGCTGTACATGGGGTGGGTGTCAGCAGTCTTGGGTGGCATAGCGGATGATGCTACCCTGGTCTGCGAGGACAGGCCACCCAGACAGGACAGTTTCCGCAAGACATGGTGTGAAAGGTGTCTATCATGCAGGATATGAGATGCTTAAAAGGGGACAGGGGACTTTGTATGTATTACCTGTTGCTACCCTTGTACGTAAGACCTTTGGATAAATGAACTGTTGTCAGCCCCAAATATCATACTCCTTCCCCTCAGCCGGTGAGCACCCTCCCTGTCTGCCAGCGGGCACTCACAGTCTGGTTGGTGACTTCCTCCTTCCGACCAGTCTTCCACACAGTCAGGTCGAAAGTGTATTCCACACCGGCCTCCAGCCTCTCCCGAGGGATGGTGACCACGGGGCTCCCACGGGGCCCGAAGTTCAGTGCACACACCTCACTCTGCAGTCCAAAGGACACAGGGGAGGGGGAAGGGTGAGTGCCTTGACCACTTGCCACAGTCAGTTCAAGGGTCCTCCACTTCCCACAGGCCCCCCAAGACCTGGGAGGAGGCAATGCAGGCCCAGTGGAAGCTGAGTGGTGTCTGGTCGCCATCCTCTAGGTTGGGGTCGTAGGAGCGGCTCCCGTTCAGCACCAGGTCCTGTGTGTCCGACCACACACGGTAGGAACCACCCTCGATGATGGGCACCAAGCGCTCGGGCACCACTGTCACGTTGGCCTGAATGCTGCGTGCCAGTGGGGTGTCCCCGAAGGAGACCATGAAGACGAAGCAGTAGTGGCCCACAGGCAGTGCCAGTCGTGGGACCACTAGCTGTGGCCTGGTCAGGTCCACACCAGGCAAGGTCAGGCGGGCGGTACGTGTAGGCCACTGGCAGCTGGCAGCACGGTACACCTCCCAGCGGTACTCAGTCTGGTAGGTGACACAGCCACGCAGGTCCACCTGGGCCTCCAGGTAGTTGCGCTGAGAGCGGCGCATGAGCACCTGTGGGGGCAGGGCCACGTCCACCGTGGGCTCCTCGCAGGCCAGCACATGCACCGTCACTGTGGCTTGCGCAACAAAGAAGCTGACCAGATTGGAGGCGTTCACCTGCATGCGGTAGTCCCCTGGCTGCAGGTAGGCATGAGCGACCCAAGGCTCTGCTGTCTCCAAAGCAGGGGCTCCATCCCCAAAGTCCCAGTGGAAGGCCACGCGACGAGGGCTGGGGCTGGTGGCAGCCTCGAAGTGGGCTGAGCGGTTGGCAAAGCAGCGGCCACCACGCAGCACAACATGCTGGATGATGTCCTGTACCTCCAGCCGCAGCGTCAGGTTGACCCCGCCCAGCTCGTTGAAGGCTCGAACCTGGACCTCCAGCAGCCCTGCAGCCATGGGTGTGTAGGTGACGTCTCGGCCTGACAGGATGACCAGTGAGTCTCCCTGCACCTTCTCTAGAGAGAAATACCAGGCATACTGGACATGGGAGCCACGGCTCACACGGGCTGTGAAGTTCTGCTCAGCCCCCGTGGGCACTCCCAGTGGGCAGCAGTGGGGTGTCCACAGACCTGCCACAGCCTCCAGCACGGTCACCCGCACCTGCGCCTGTACCCGGCTGACGTGGTTCTCGGCCTGCACACTCACCACGTAGTCCCCAGCCCGCAAAAAGGTACGGGAGAAGTGGGGGCTAGACAGCATCTCGGGGTCAGTGTTGGCCACCTGCACGTGCAGCAACACGTCTGAGCCAGCAGCCAGCAGTACCTGGAAGTCCACAGGCTGTCCAGGCTCCACCACTTTGCTGCTGGCCCACAGCATCAGGCCCGCCACGGGCTCCTCCACAGTCAGGTTGTGCGTGGCCACAGCCCAGCTGACCAAGTTGGAGGCATTGAGCTGGACCGAGAAAGTGCCAGCCTCCGGCAAGGCCACAACAACATGCTGGCCCTGCAGCTGCTGGCCCCCTGACACCACCCAACTCCAGCTCACATCAGTGCCGGCAGTCAGCTGGCCCTGAAAGGGCACGGTGGAGCCGGCCACCACAAAGCTACACTCTGGCCCACCTGGCTGGATACTGAGGCCCGAGACGGGCACTTGTACTGCCACAGTGATGGTGGTGTTGGTTGCTCCCAGGGCGTTCTCAGCCGTGATAGTAACCAGGTGCAGGCCAGGACTGGGAAAGGTGTGGGTAGTGACGGGTCCTGCAGTCACCCAGTGTGGGGTGCCCTCCAGGACCCAGGTGAACGTGACCCCGCTGCCTCCTGAGAGCTGGGCAGCCAGGGTGATGGTCTCATTGATGGCACCTGGATTGGGGGTGGCAGTCAGTGCCAGCGTTCCCACAGGGTCCACAAACTGCAGGGTGCGGTTTGCTGAGGCGCTACCTAGCATGTTGGTGGCCCGCAGCTGCACTAGGTAGGGGCCAGGCTCGAGCACAGTGACTGAGAAGATTCTGCCGCTGGCGGCAGTCACCACGGGACCCCCGGCCCGCTGGATGGTCCAGCTATAGGAGATGTTGGTACCTTCACGGAATGCAGCCTGCAACTGCAGCGTGTGGTTGGTGGGGAAGCAGTCGCCCCCCCCGCCCACCGTCACCTGCAGCCCCTCAATGTAATGCAGCACATAGATAAAGATGCTGTCCTGTGCAGTGCCCACTGTGTTTTCGGCTGTGACGATGATGTTGAAGGTGCCCACCGAGCGGAATGTGTAGGAGATGATGGGGCCCCCAGGGATGGGGGTGCAGCGGTCACAGAGCACCCAGGAGTAGCGCACATCACTGCCTGCCTCCAGGGTGGTGCTGAAGCTGACACTGCCATTGAGGGGCACGACCGTGCGGCTGGCATTGACCCGGAGCCCCAGCACCCGCTGTGCCACCGTCACATTCAGCTGGGCCTCACCACGGCTCACCTCGTTCCAGCCGGCTACAGTGACAGTGAAGGTGCCCGAGCAGTTGTAGGCATGGGTGACCACAGGGCCCTCCAGCCGCCCACCATCCCCCAGGTCCCACAGGTAGTTGGCGGGCCTGCCGTCGCCTGACACTGAGAACAGGTAGAGCTGCTGTGCCTCCAGCACGTGGGAGCCATTGACCCTGATGCCCACCAGCACCACGGGCTGCTGCACCTCCACCACGGCCGAGTCGTTGCCCGTCGAAACGTTGTTAGACACGGTGACTGTCACCAGGTAGGAGCCGGGCTCCGGGTAGATGTGGGTGGCCTCAGGGCCCCCAGGGTGGCCGACGACGTCCTTGGACCCCCAGGCCCAGGAGTAGCGGTAGGGGAAGGGGGGCTGGACGTGCACCTCCAGGCGTGCAGCCTCCCCCAGTCGCACGTACTGCAGGTCAGGCCTCAGGGTGACGTTGCCTAGCTCAGGCTCCACGCAGACACTGGTGAAGTAGTGGGCCTTGTTGGTGGGGCTGGACAGCACAAGGGTCAGTGGGAAGGTGCCACTGTGCGTGAAGTTGTGTGTCACACTAGGGCTCCCATAGACAGTGGTATTGGGTGATCTGTCCCCAAACATCCATTCAAAGACATAGCGTGCAGGGTCCCCAGTGACATGCGCTGTCAGCAGGGCATTGGGGTGTGCGAGGGTGCACTGGGCAGGCTCAATGCGCAGCACCTCTAGGACGAAGACGTGCACGGGCTGACTCTGCGACAGGTGGCCAGCGGGGCTGGTGGCCGTCACAGTCACGGTGCAGTTCTGTGCCTGCCGGTACACATGCTCCACCGTGGCCTCAGAGCTCACGAGCACAGTGCCATCACCCATGTCGAAGGTCCAGGTGATGTTGTCACCAGCCACCAGTGTGGCGCTGACCTGGACAGGGGCACCTTGCTCTGCAGCTGGGTCCAGGTGCACGCTCAGGCCACGGGGCTCCTGCAGGACATGGACATCGGCCCAGGCCGCTGCCTGGCTCACGGTGTTGTTGGCCTCCAGGTGGACACGGTATGTGCCCCTCTCAGCGTAGGTGTGGTTGACAGCTGGCTCACTGAGTGACTCAATAACAGAGCCGTCCCCAAAGTCCCAAGTGTACAGGGTGCCCCTGGGGGAGGGCAGTGGGAAGAAGGTGACGGGCCAGCCGGCCACCAGAAAGGGACTGCTTACCCCCACAGTGAGGTCGGGCAGGGCAGCTCGTACACTGACTGGCACCTGCTGCGTCAGGTTCTCAAAGGCATTCGAGACAAGCAGGGTCAGGTTGTAGTCACCTGCGGGGACAGCCCAACAGCACACAGGAGTGAGGGGCTGCTGTCCCCACCAGGCGAGGAGGGGAAGATCCTAAGCACAGGCGGGGTGGCCTTGCCCTTACCTGGGGCTGCGTAAGTGTGCGTAGTGTTGTGCTGCACCAGAACCTGGGCCACAGTGGGCTCAGGCGTTGGGAAGGACTCATCGTATGGAGGCTTGAACTGCCCGAGGGCCTGCTCCCCATCCCCAAAGCTCCACCTGGCAAAGTGTGTGGGTGTCAGTGGCAGGAGGCTGCTGGGCCCAGTTAGGAGTGGTTGCCCCTCACTCGCTCTCCTCCTCGCATCCCGCGCCACACACACTCACAGGAAGGCCACCTCCACAGCTGAGTCCACCAGCACACTGGCTGTCAGTGCCAGTGTGGTGTTCTGGGGCAGCACAGCTGGCACCGCGGACAGCTGGAGCCCCCGCATCCGGTTCATGCGCTCCACTGTGACGTTGTAGTCCACAGTGACATTGCTCACATGGTTGGAGGCCGTCAGCTGTGGAAACAGGTGGCAGCACCAAGTGTGGACCCCAGAGGTAGAGAGAACGGCAGGAACGGGGGTGAGGCGCGGAGAGGAACCTGGCAATGCCCCCCAGCCACCCTGTCCCCATTCACCACCTTGGGCCGATACACCTGTGCCCACAAACTGCTCTTCAGCCACTGTGCCCCTAGCCAGTACACCCTCAAGCACTGCTCCCCAAAGGGCCCTGTTCCAGGTGCCAAGCCCTCGTCCACAGAACCCCAGGTGCTGTTGCATTTCACATGCTACCCCCAAACTCTGAGCTCCTATACAGCTCTTTGCCACCTGCAGGGATGCCTGAGAGCAAAGTGGAAGCACAACAGAAGGCAGAGACAGCCCCTGTGGCCACTCCCCATCCACTGCCCCCCACAGCTATGGGGGTCCCTGGAGCAGAGCTGACCCAGAGGGACCAGCAGGCAGGCCCATGTCTACACTCCACACACCGAGAGTTTGAAGATGGCCGCGCTCTGGTAAATGACGTTGAAGACGACGTTGTGAAAGGTCAGTGAGCGCTTGTCATCGATGGTCCACCGGAAGACCACGTCTGAGCCTGCATCCACCACGGGGTTGTACCTCTGTGGTGGGAGGACATGGCCCAGTCAGTGGCCAGGCCGAAGCCCACACCGCTCAGCCAGACACAGTGGACCTGGGACCACTGACAGGGTCAATCCAAGATCCTTTGTCACCAAGGAGCCTAGGGCCTCACAGAGCTGGGATGACCCCCACATGGGTCACCTCCTGGACACACAGGGGAAGTCCCAGGGAACTGAGAGGAAGGGGATGTGCGGCAAGGAGCTGGGAATCTGCAAGGAGGTTCTGGGGGGCTGAAGGGAAGTGGGGGTTGAGGGGAGGCCATAAAAAGAGGAGGGCTAAGAGGAGGTCTTAAGGGATAAAGGGAGCTGAGGTGAGGTCCTGGGGGGCTCATGGAAGATGGAGGCTTAAGGGGGGTCCTGGGAGGCAGGGAAGCTGAAGAGCCAAGGGGAGGTCTGGTGGGGGCCTGAGGGAAGGTTCAAGGGCACTTAGGGGAGGTTTCAGGGGCACTGAGGGGAGACCTGGTCTGAGGGAAGGTTCCAGGGTACTGAGGCCCAAGGCTGGCCCCACACTCACCACCCGAACGCCCTGCAGCACTCGGGACTCAGGACTTGGGGTGGTGCGGAGGCCGCGGACCGGCTCCTCGGCCATCACTTGCAGGCTGAGGCAGGCATGGCTGATGCTGTTCTTGACCGTGACCTCCACAGCATGCTCGCCCTCACCCAGCCCGGGCAGCACTAGCACTGAGAACAGTGTGCCATTGGCCTCTTGGGGACAGCCGGGCACAGAGACATCCACCACCGAAGGACAGGACTCCTCAAAAGGTGCACTGGTGTTGCCCCTGTGCCAGTGGGCCATGGCCATGGCGTTGGTGCCCGTGTCTAGCGCCAGCACCAGGATTGAGTGGTTGGTGGGCACATAAAGGTGACCATCCAGGGAGGCAGGGTGGACGACACGCAACCCAGTCACTGGGGAAGCCACAGTGAAGCTGCAGGACAGGTTGTGAGTAGACACTGAGTTGCTCACCACGGCCTGGACAGCATAGCGCCCAGCACGTGGTAGCCCAGGCGTGGGGCCCTCTCCCAGCAGGGGTGTGAGGCGCTGTGTGGCCCCCATCAGCCGCAGAGCACAGGCCAGGCCGGCTGGGGCATCCTCCAGCGGGGCAGCCAGGTGGACCAGCCAGGCTGAGGTGTTGACCGAAAGATAGGGGGCCTCAGGGGCAGAGGGGCAGTGCAGGAGGGCACCCAGGCCGGCGTCGTGCTGTAGAACAAGCAGGTCACCTGGGAGCAGGAGGACATTCTGGCCTTTGAAGGAGACCTACAGAGAGGAAGTTGGGGTCTGAAGCCTGTCCTCATGACAGATCGAGCTGAAGGAGGAACAGGGGCTGGTAGCCCGGGGTCTCTAGCTACGACAGTACCCCCACCCTTGACCACTCATCGCCGGCTCTCCAGGATAACCAAGTATCCTGTGCCTTGATCAGACAGGGCAGCCATGCGGTCAAGAGAGGTGGAGAGAGCTGGACAGAGGAGGACCTGGGTAAGTAGGAGTGGCCTCCTCAAACACTTCTGAGGGGACGCTGGAGCAAACCCTCAAAGGCAGAGAGGAAGGGGACACCAGGCCAGGGCACGCACCGAATACTGTGCAGGAGGTCCCGCGGGCACAGAAAGAAGACGTTCACTCTGCAGCATGTAGGCGGTCGCGGGGAGTCCAGGCCCTGGCGTGGATCCGTTGGCACAGTCCAGAGGGTGACCAGGCCCTGGCATAGACCCACTGGCACAATCTAGAGAGTGACCGGTCCCCGGTGTAGACTCATTGGTGCAGTCCTGAGGGTGACTGGTCCCTGGCGTGGACCCATTGGCGCAGTCCCGAGGGTGATTGGTCCCCGGCGTAGACCCACTGGCACAGTCCCGAGGGTGACCAGTCCCAGGCATGGACTCACTGGCACAGTCCTGAGGGTGACCGGTCCCTGGTGTGGACCCATTGGCACTGTTATGACAGGGCCTGAGGACATCCCGTGTGACGCAGACACTGGCTACTGGGCACCAGCTTCCCAATGGTGCGCAAAGAGGCGGCGGCCTGGTGCTGTTGTCCAGTGACCTGCTCTCAGGCTTGCTGCCATTCTGAGGAACCCCTGCAAGAACAAAATGTAACCAGAGCAGTCTCAAGAGCTGCCCTCCCTCACCTGTCTATGGCCCACAGGGAACAGTCAGGACTAAGAGAAGACGTGTCCAACCCCTCAAGTCACACCTGAGCTCCATGTGGGCCGAAACACCTGAAGCCGCAGCTGAGCAGGCCGTCTGAGTGCCTGGGTACCGAACTCGACGGCCGTGAGGAATGCTTCACGCCCTGGGCTCAGGCCTGGGAACACCATGACCTGGGCAGGACCACAGTTCAAGACCAGGTGTCCCGCCCCTTGCCCCGCTCTGCCCTGCCCCTGTCCCTACTTCTGCCCCACTGTGCCTTGGTCTTGTCTCCACCTCTGTCCCGTTATACCCTGCTCCAGTACCCCACCTCTGCTCCACTGTGCCTCACTCTGTCCTGCTTTACCCTGACCCAGCCCCGCCCCGCCCCACCATGCTGTGCCCCAATCTTACAAACCCACTGGATCCCAGTGACCCCAGAGAGCACCACTGTCAGCACAGTGGCCTACCTCTACAGTCTGCTGGGGGGCCATCAGGGCCTCCTGCTGCACCAGGGGGATAAGGGGTCCCTGCAGGAGCCCGCTGGGCGCTCCTATGACAATGGTCTCGGAATCCCACACAGGGCCTAGGAGTGGAGTCTGCAGTAAGGGACGTGTCCATACAAGGTGACCAGGTCCCACCTTAGCCTATGTCCTACCCCAGCAACTGTACCCCCTCTCCGTGGTTATCGGGACTCTGGGGGCCTCGAGGAATTGAGGGCTGATGAAGTGGGCCATGAGGAGTGGGAGTGAAGGGGTGGCCAGCCCAGCCCAGGGTAGCCCCTTAGCCCCTGCGTACCGCTAGGCCGCAGTTCGCACACATAGCTATGGGGGGCAGAGCACAGGTCAGTGTTGCACTGGCCGGCAGGTCCCAGGCGCACACAGTGCTCAGCGGTGGCGGGGTGCGGCTCCCCGGGCAGCCAGTTCTGGCAGCTCTCCAAACTGAAGGCCTCGCCCTGTGTCGCTGTGCCAGCCTCTGGCCCCTCCACGGTGGAGAAGCCGATCCACACGTCCAGACTCCTGCAGGGAGATTGGGAGTGAGGAGGGCACCCAGTTTTCCAGAGGGAGCCCCTAACTCCGGCCCTGTGGGTGCACTCCGAGCTTCACGTGGGGAAGCTGAGTTCCACACGTGGGATCTGGGGCCCAGGACATCACCCCAATTACCAATCCAGCTAGGAGATCCAGAGCAGAGCCCCATGATCCGAGACGCAGAGCTGGAGGATGGTGTGAGGGTGGGGACAGGCAAGGGCCCAGGTGCAGGGGCGAGGGCGAGGAGGGACAGTTGGGAGGGTAAACACAGGTATGCGTATGGCACAGGTGTAGATGCAGGGGTGGCTACAGGAGACAAAGGGCTGTGGGCATAGCTGGGCTCAGGGAGCCAATGCCGGGTCCAGCTCAGGGTTGGCACCTGGTGACTTGAGAGATGAGGAAGTTCTGGATGGCAGGGCTGTCCACCATGGCCAGGGCGGCCCCAGCCCAGGCCCGGCACTGCTCTTGGGCCTCCAGCCAGGGTGCCTTCTCAGCCACCAGGCGGTAGCAGTGGCCGTTGCTTGGGAATATCTCTGTGTCCTCAGGGCAGAGGGGTTGCACAACTAGATCACAGGCAGAAAACAGGGTGTGAGATGTGCCCCTGTCCCAAAAAAGGGGCCCAGCAGTGGGGAGAGGCGGCAGAGGAGGAGGGGTCCTCAGGGTTTCAGCAGGTGGGGGAGACAGGGGTCCTGGGACCCAGCACATCGGGGGTGTCCCACACCTTGGGCTGGCTCCTCATCCAGGGCCAGGATGCTGTAGGTGACCTCAAGGCCTGTGCCCCCCTGGTTTCGGATGCTGAGCTCGAGGCTCCGGTTGCTGGGCACAGGGGATGGGCACACCAGCTCCAAGGCAGCAGGAGCAGCCTCCACGAGCACCTCTGTGGTCAGCTGGGTGGAGGCAGCCCCCAGGGCCAGCCTGGCCGTCACCTGGTAGTGGCCCGGCAGCAGGAAGCGGTGCGTGATGGCTGCCCCGGGGATGTCCACCTCAAGGGACCCATCCCCGAAGTTCCAGTGCACGGAGCCAATAGGCAAAGGGGCAATGACACGGAAGGATGTCGGGCGGCCCACGGTCAGAGCCCCAAGGGGAGGCTCCAAGGTGGCCCCTGGGGTGGCAGGGAAGACATTGGGGAGCAGGGTGGGGGCCCCACAGGCAGGAGGTGGAGGGACACTGGAACAGAAGGGCAGGCAGCCAACAGAGGTGTTGGGAGGCTGTGGGGCCCCACAGAGACACAGGCCCTGGTCAGAGAGAGCGGCCAGGTCCTGGCCCTCTGCAAAGCAGAAGGCACTGCAGGCCTCAGGGGGCAGCGCATCTCCGTAGGCCACTGAGAAGGCTGCCAGCACCATGGCCTCCGAGCTGTTGTCAGGAAGGCAGGCGACATACTCCTCACCTGGAGGGCAGGCAGGCATGGTACTGGGATCACTCACCCCAAAGAGCATCCTACCACCCATGCCCCCCTCAGCCCCTCCCTAATGGGACAGATCTGGGGTGTGGTGTGGTAGGGCCCACTTTCAGGCCCTGGTCCCCTCTTATATCACACACACACACACACACACACATACACACACACACACTCTCTCTCACATATGCACCCCTAGTCTCCATCTGTAGCGTTTTGCATGTATCTGACACCCTTGGGCTATATCTGCAGACAGCATCCCAAGGGCAGTGCCGGGCAGCACCCCCCTCACTGCTTGGCCCCCGGTCCTGTCCTGGCTTCACTCACCACAGCCACCGTACAGGGAAGGGATGCTGAGCAGGGGCCGACCAGCCAGGGTGCGTGGCCCAGCACACGTAGACCCTTCAGGGTGTCTTAGACGCACCCCCCGGGCCTGTGCCCAGCGTGGCAGCCACGCCAGGCCACAGTCACACTCAAGTGGGTTTCCACTCAGGTCTCTGCAGAGGAGACAGCAGCACACTGGGGACCCCAGCATGTTTTCATGTCCCGTCAACCCCACAGGCGGAGCCCCCACCTGGAGTCTGAATGCAGTATCTGGGGATGTGGAAGCCAGACAGGGCAGGGACCATGATTACCGGCACCTATCACGTTCCCCGTACTCACAAGTCAGTTAAGTTAAATAAATTAGCAAGCACTCCCTCCTGTAACGTGGAGATCTTATTGTGGCTCAGGTCCCTGGAAGAAAGGGAGCCAGGCACATAGGACAGAGGTCCCCAGAACAGGGATGGGGCAGTGGCGGCCCTCCATGCCCACCCCACTGCCAGGGGTCAGTCACTCACAGCTCAGTCAGGGCTGAGAGGTTCGCCAGGATCCCTGTGTCCAGTGTCCGGAGGAGGTTGTGGGAGATGTCGCTAAGGGGAAAGACAGGTTAGCATCAGGGTTGGGCTGGGGCAGAGCCACCCCAGGAGCCTTGCACCCCAAGCTACAGCCCCACCCAGAGCTTCCCAGGAGGGACCTGTCCTAAGGGAGGATCCAGATGGCCATCTGGGGAAACCAAGGCAGGAGAGGCCTGTGCTCCATCTCACACCCAGAAAGGCATGGCCCACACCACTACCCGTCCCTAGTCCATCAGGTTGGTCCCCCAACAGCTCAATTGTGGGGCCCTGAATGATTTGAAGGGTCCAGGCAGCACAATAGGCAGATCCTCACTGTCCCTAAGACATGGGGGCAAAAAGATGGTATAAATAGGGATGCTCCTGGAGGTAACCCCAGCATTGCAATGGCAGGGTCCCTTTACACTCGAGTTAGTTCAACAAGGTCATCTGAAGGAGCAAGGATGGTCAGAAGCATTTTCATTCAGGTACACAGCATGTGACTCACATTGCAGGAAAGAGGGGCCTCCACACCAGAAGGACATACTGCACTCACAGGACCACAGGCCTGTGAGATGGGGGGGGGGCAGTGCACAGCTCTGGGCCTCCAGTTATATTGGTAAATTCGCAAGACTGCAGGCCACAATGGTACAGAACCAGAGTACCAAACCCAAACCAGCCCCAGCCCTTGAGTCATTTCCCACCCACAGCAACTGTCCCCCAAGGTCCCAAGGCTATAAATCTTTACAAGAGGAGGCACCTATCACTTTCCTGTAGAGTTGCTGATGGATTTGAACTGCTGACCCTCTGGTTTGAAACACAGCACGTTACACACTAAGCCACCTTAAACAGGACTAAGGACCTAAGAGAATTCACACACCTGTCACTGGGAGCGAAGAGGGCGTGTGAAAGTGGCAAGAAGCTGTGCTACAGTCCCAAAGGCATGCAGTTCAAACCCACCAGCTGCTCCGCAGGAGAAGGATGGGCAGTCTCCTCCCGTGCAATTAACTGCTCTGAAAACCCACTGGAGGGTCAGCTGTGGGTTGGTTCTCACTCAACAGGAAACAACAGAGACTGGACAGCCTAGCGTCCAGCCACTTAGAGACTTGCCGCCATCACCCAAAATATCAAGAACCTGTTTAGAAAACAAACTACAGACTGGAAAAAGCACATGCACACGGGCAGGTTAAGGGTCAACAACACCCTACACATTACCCTCAAACCAAAAAGCCAGAACCAGAGCCCCTGCTGTTAAGCCGATTCCAGCTCACAGCAACCCGGTAAGACAGAACTGCCTGAGGATATCTGAGGCTAGACATCTGCACCAGCAGAGAGCCTCAGCTTTCACCCAGGGAACAGCTAGTGGATTTAAACCACTGACCTTCAGTCAGCAGCCCAACCCACGTAACCTACTTCCCCACCAGGGCTCTTTCCAAGACAAACAGATCACACCAATAGAGGGTGCAGGGACGGGTAGGCTAGGGGTGAAAATGAGCAATTAACAAATAAATACAAGTGGCCATGAATATTTTGGAAAGCAAATTCCTTTTTCAGTAACAAGTGAAGCGGTACCAGCGGAAACTGAGATGCAAGAGCACTTATAAACCATGGAAACTATTTTTTTTAAAGTAAAAAAAAACCTGCAACATGCGGTGTGACTGGTGTTGTGGTGGGGTGAGCACGCCAACATGTGGTGAGCTGGCAGTACTGCAGCTTCTCCAAAGCGGCACGAATCTGCAGTCTTGCAAAAACAGCAGGTATTCTTTCTTTGTAGGAGGCAAATTATTTTTAAATTTTAAAATGATTTATTTATTGGAGTGCAGCCTTCAATATGGATTGAGGCTCAATATCAAGAAGACAGAAATTCTCATCACTGGGCCAACTGGCAGCATGAGGATGGGTGGTGAAGAGATTGAGATTGTACACAGCTTTAGCTTGCTTGGCTCCACAGTCAACACTCTTGGCACCAGCAGCCAGGAAATTAAAAACACATTGAGATGGGAAAGCCTGCTGTTAGGGACCTCTCCAAAGTACTGAAGAGCAATAGTGTCACTCTGGAGACTAAGGTGCGTCTGATACAGGCCATGGTCTGCAATCACTTGATATGCGTCAGAGAGGTGGACAATGACTAGGGAGGATAGAAGGAGAACTGATGCCTTTGAGCTGTGGTGTTGAAGAAGAGTACTGAATAGACCATGGATTGTTAAGAAAAAGAACAGGTTCATCTCAGAGAGGGTTAAGCCAGGCTGTTCCTTGGAGGCAAGGATTCTGAAGCTTCGTCTGACGTACTTTGGACATATTGCAAGGAGAGACCAGTCCTTGGAAAAAGACATCATGCTTGGGATGGTGGAAGGACAGTGCAGGAGAGGAAGACCCTCTATGAGGTGGATTGATTTAGTAACTGGGGTAATCAGGGTGGGTGTGTCAGAGACAGTAAGGTTGGCACAGAATAGAGCAGGGTTTAGGGCTGTTGTACATAGGGTCGCTATGAGTAGCAGGCAACTCGAGGGCACATAGTAACAACAACAATTTATTGATTTAAAATAAATATATTTAAAATATTTTTTTAAATTATTTTAAAATTTTAAATTTCTCATAGTTATTTGAGTGAAAGGTTCCCAAGCATATTGGTTTTTCAATCATTCACACACATTTTGTTATAATATCTGGTCATCCATAATTGTTTTTCTCTTCATCCATCTTTCTTGTTTGCTGTTGAGTCAGAACTGACCCACAGCTGACCCGGCAGCAGGTCTTCAGAGGCAAGAAATCACACAGAAGACAGCCAGCCCATCCTTCTCCCTCAGAGTAGCAGGTGGATTAAAACCAAGTGCCTTTGGGATTGCAGCATAGCTTCTTACCAGAGGCCACCAGAACTTCCCTCCTAGTAAGTGACTGTTTACTTACGAGTTTTCCCACCCCCTCCTCCTCCCTAGCCCTCCCTGATAACCATACTAGAACACTTATTTCTGTGTGTAAATGTTTCTTTAGTTTTTTAATAAGAGTAGTCTTATCCTATGCCTGATCCAACAATTACACTCTCAGGGGATTTATTCTTAGGACAAGAAAGTGTATGGATGAATATGTATACGCTAGAATACGTATATACTAGAATGCCCACCCCAAAACTGTGAGAGGGAAAAAGTGTGCCAAATAAGATGGTAAATATTTATCTAGTGCCTTGGGAGGAAGTTCTTCCTTCATGGAGATGAGGAAAACGCCGGTTACCCAGCTCGGTGGGGGCTGGGGGGATGGCAGATGTTTGGGAGTTCTGAATCACCCACTGCCACTCAGTGGATCCAGACTCCTAGGGGAAATGGGGGCTGGTCTCTCGCTGCTGTCAGGTCAGAAATGCCTCCTATCTGCCCCTCCGTTGGGTTTCCAAGGCTGTAAGTCACAGGAGATTTTCGTTCTCCAGAGGAGCTCTGGGCGCACTCACTAGCAGAGTGGCGTCTGGGTCAGCAGTGGAAACCCCTATGGATTATGCCACCAGGGCTCCTTCTTTATCAAAATCCACTGCCACTGAATTGATCCCAACTCATTGTCCCTGTGGGACAGAACACAGGGTGTCCAAGGAAAGACACCATCATCTTTCTCTGGGAATTGCTGGTAGGTCAGCAGCTGGATGCTTTAACCACTGCATGACCAGTGCTCCTCGGCTCTGAGACTTGGCGAGCAGGGGAGCTGTCCTGACACCCCTACCTCCACAAATCCTGCTCTCCTTTTCACCCGCCATGCCTAGAAAACAGTGAGTTTAGGGTTGCCCGAACCTCAGACACAATCACACATGCATGTGTCATGGTGTGGGGTCACGAACCTGTGGGTACCTGCCCTACCTGTCCCCTCAAACTCTATGGGGGAGCCCATACCCCCATAGGAACTCAGGGAGCATGTGGGTCTTCAGGGCTTCCTGGCAGGGTCTTTCCTGCACCCCATTCCAGCTGACCCTGTGCCCAACTCCTCACTGCTCAGTAACAAGGTGTCCACAGTCCCCAGGGCAGGTGGTGGCTACCCTGGCAGAGACTGCATTTCATCAGCACTCCTACTAGAAACTCACCCACTGTCAAGCAGGGTACCCTAAGAGCAGTGCTGAGAGAAACTGCAGTCACATTCAAGCAGGGACTTCCCAGGGCCAAAATGACCATGGCTGTGACATCCACCATTGTGAAGAAATCATAGTGTGAAGATCCAAGAAGAACTGGGGTACAAGGCCTAAGAGGAGCCAAGGTGTGGGCTCCAAGATGAACTGGGGTACAAAGCCCTAAGGAGGTATGATGGGTACCCAGGGTCTCAGAAAGGCAGTCATAGGGGTCTCTTGTCTGGAGGCCAGGCCTGGGGGCAGCAGGGCCATGAAAGTGAGAGGAGACAAGAGAAGGTGACCTGGCACCCCTGTCCCTGTCCCTGCGGGCACAGGGTCCCAGAGCAGAAAACAAAGGAGGAAAGGCTCCACAGCCTGTTTTCAGAAAACATGTTGCACATAGCAGCCTCAGGCAACTGGGAATCACCTTGCTCAGAACTCTAGCCCATGGCCACCCCTCAACTGGATGGCCTCCCTGTCACCCCTCGGGGGCCTGGTCACAGACTCCAGTGTAGACAGGACCTGGGGGCACTGCCGTCAAGCTCCCATGTCTGCACATGAGGACAAGAGTAGAATGAGATCTCAGCCAGCCCCCGGGTGGAGACTCTTCATAGGGCAGGCTGGTATCAGAACCCACCGGAATGGGGGGGAGTGGTGCCAAGGAAGAGCCCGGGGACACGAGGGACACTCATGAGATGCTGGGGGGTCGGGACAGCAGGTGGGATGATGGGGGGATAGTGCAGGGTCATGGAGTGTATGGGGGTGTTAGAGGGGATATGCAGGGTCAGCAGGCACATGGGGTGTTACGGAGAGGACGTGCTGGGTCAGGGAGACATGAGGGTGTTAGAGGGAAGATGAAGGTCAGTGGGGAATGTGTAAGGTCAGGGGGACATGGGAGTTAGAGGAGGGATGAGGGTCAGGGGGACATGGAGTGTTAGGGGATAAGGGTCAGGGGGACATG